CTGCATGCACAAATGTTAAGGGAGCATTAACACTCTACGAAGCCACATGGCTCAGCACTAGAGTGAACAGCTCGCAATCAGACGGTTGCTAGTTCAAATCATAGCTGAGACTTGACTCGCCCCATCAACCCTTTGGGGTCGATAAAATAACTACTACTTTGTGGGGAAGTCCACAGGAGTTTTCCTATGCCAAGACTTGCCCCTGGCATAAGGAAGAGGAATTTCCACCACTGGCATAGGGCTGTAATCAGAAGATGAAAGCACCAATGCCTCAATGCTCATTTGAGGACATTACATTGGCTTGACTTTTACGTGAATCAACACATGTCATGTCTTAATCCCAAGCATCGTAACGTGGAGAGAACATCGCTCACTTCTCCACCACAGTGCCTATGATCATGCAGGCCTCGTCCGCCGCGTCTCGGTACTCAGCGCTGGGATGAGCGACACGAACAAAATCGGCCTGAAAAAGGATTACACAAGGTGAATGTTTAGTCAATGTTTGCATGGACAGAGGTGGCCCATTGTAACTTTGAGGATGATAAAGTGGAAAGTAACAGTGCTTGTGCAATGGAAAGACTTAAGAAACAGAATGCATTGTGTTGGGTAATTAACACAATCACGTGAAAACCAGCCAGGTGGCTCAGCGGCAGAGCGAGCGACTCGCAACAAGAATGTTGCAAGTTAAAATCCTGGTTAGGGGTTGATTCGGCCCATCATCCTCTCCAGGGTCAATAAATTGGGTAACCACTTTGTTGGGATTAACTCACACCTACCATATGCATGATACATGTCCACCATTGGCTCAGGGCTGTAAAACAGATGAGCGCCGCCTCAATGCTCATTTGAGCGCACATCGACTTGTGAATTCCTCTCACCAGATCAGCGACTTGGCAGAGGCTGTCGGAGAGCTTGTCAAAGATTTGCACAACGCGAGGACCTGGCGGGGCACGGCATGCATCCTCCACCAGTCGCTCGGTGGCCGCCAGTGCTTCCCGCTGGGCAATGCGGAACCCGGAAGGAGAGCTCAGCTCGGGAACCCCAAAGAGACCCTCACACATAGGAACACGCCACACAACGTATCACGTTATGCTTCATCACTAAAAAAAAATGACATTTTATTTTACCAAGTAAGGCCCACTGAGCTATACAGCTCTTTTTCCAGAAGTGACCCGGCCACAAATGATAGCTTAACGAAGTGGCTTATGTTAAAATGTATTGCAGACAAATACGAGACTCACATTTATAACATAACATGGTGAGAGCTGGGTTAGCTTTAACAACACACAGACACAGAGCTTTAGTAATTAACCGCCTCAACTTTGATCACTTAGAACAGGGGTCGGCAACCTACGGCTCCGGAGCCGCATGCGGCTCTTTACGGGCTGCTTCTTGACGATGAGTACGTATGCATTGCGGCTCTTGAAATACTGAATTTTGTACCGAATTGGAAAGAAATGGCGCTTCTTGTTATTTTGGTTGCCGACCCCTGACTTAGAATAATAACGTGACTGTAGTCCTCTACTTACGATGGAGATGCGTTACGACGACCTAGCCTACACCCAGGAGTCGTAAAGAATGATGATAATTGAGCAAAACAGAGAAATTTCACAGTACCGTACTGTATAAACTATATACTATATGTATTTATTAATTACAATACTGTATTGCACAATAAAATGTAAAGTAAAATAACAAGGTAAATTCTTAGCCTACCTATATGAACAGCAATTTAATAGAACGTTTTTTTAGGAAACAATCCTATCTGCTATAAAAAACTTTTAACATGCATTGAACGCTAAGGGGGGGGGGTCACTACTAGTGGGGGGGTCACCGCTAGTGGGGGGGGGGTCACTACTAGTGGGGGGGGGGGTCACCGCTAGGGGGGGGGTCACTACTAGTGGGGGGGGCACCGCTATGGGGGGGGGGTCACTACTAGTGGGGGGGTCACCCCTAGTGGGGGGGGTCACTACTAGTGGGGGGGGAGGTCACCGCTAGGGGGGTTGGTCACCACCAGCACCACGGGATCACGGGGTGAGGGCTTTGGGTACCTGGGTCGCTGCTCCCGGCTTCTCCGCGCTCCGCTGCTGCCGCGCGTTGAACGCGGCGCCCACGGGCGACCACGTGGAGACGGCGCGGGCCGCACGCGGGCCCAGCGCGGCCCTGGGCAGTAGCAACAGCGGCAACATCGCAGCTCCCCGCCCCGCCTGTCCCTTTCTACGCGCCCCTTGCCCTCTCCACCTGCCGAGACTCTTAGGGCTCTCCCCGCCTCCTCGCGTCGCTGTCCCCTCGTCTCCCTTGGCTAACACAGCGGCACCATCGCAGCTCCCTCTTCGCGTCTCTCAACAGACTCTCGGCCGCAGCAGCAGCGTCTTCCCTCGCGAGTCCCAACTATCTTACACGACACAGCTCAAGCTACGCTGACAAAGACCCCACTGTGGGCGGCCTGTGCTGTTAGCGAGCACCTATTAGAGCCGTGCCGACAACGCACTCCGCCTCTAAACCACGACTCCCTTCCCCTCTGTCTCCAGCAGCTCGCACTGTACTCAGGGCGAGTGAGATTATTCAGAGTTCAGGGCAAGTGGGGTAGTTCAGAGTTCAGGGCAAGTGGGGTAGTTCAGAGTTCAGGGCGAGTGGGGTAATTCAGAGTTCAGGGCAAATGGGGTAGTTCAGAGTTCAGGGCAAGTGGGGTAATTCAGAGTTCAGGGCAAGTGGGATAATTCAGAGTTCAGGGCGAGTGGGGTAATTCAGAGTTCAGGGCAAATGGGGTAGTTCAGAGTTCAGGGCAGGTGGGGTAATTCAGAGTTCAGGGCGAGTGGGGTAGTTCAGAGTTCAGGGCAAGTGGGGTAGTTCAGAGTTCAGGGCGAGTGGGGTAGTTCAGAGTTCAGGGCAAGTGGGGTAATTCAGAGTTCAGGGCGAGTGGGGTAGTTCAGAGTTCAGGGCAAGTGGGGTAATTCAGAGTTCAGGGCGAGTGGGGTAGTTCAGAGTTCAGGGCAAGTGGGGTAATTCAGAGTTCAGGGCGAGTGGGGTAGTTCAGAGTTCAGGGCAAGTGGGGTAATTCAGAGTTCAGGGCAAGTGGGGTAGTTCAGAGTTCAGGGCAGGTGGGGTAATTCAGAGTTCAGGGCAAGTGGGGTAGTTCAGAGTTCAGGGCAGGTGGGGTAATTCATAGTTCAGGGCGAGTGGGGTAATTCAGAGTTCAGGGCAGGTGGGGTAGTTCAGAGTTCAGGGCAAGTGGGGTAATTCAGAGTTCAGGGCAAGTGGGGTAGTTCAGAGTTCAGGGCAAGTGGGGTAATTCAGAGTTCAGGGCGAGTGGGGTAGTTCAGAGTTCAGGGCAAGTGGGGTAATTCAGAGTTCAGGGCAAGTGGGGTAATTCAGAGTTCAGGGCAAGTGGGGTAATTCAGAGTTCAGGGCAGGTGGGGTAGTTCAGAGTTCAGGGCAAGTGGGGTAATTCAGAGTTCAGGGCGAGTGGGTTATTCATGGCTCAGGGCAAGTGGGGCAATTCAGAGTTCAGGGCAAGTGGGTTATTCAGAGTTCAGGGCAAGTGGAATTATTCAGAGTTCAGGGCAAGTAGAGTAATTCAGAGTTCAGGGCAGGTGGGGTTATTCATGGTTCAGGGCGAGTGGGGTTATTCATGGTTCAGGGTGAGTAGGGTAATTCATACAAGCGGGAGTAATTCAGAGTTCAGGGGGAGTGGGGTTATTCACGGTTCAGGGAATTTGGGGTTTATTAATTTATGCATGGTTCAGGGCGAGTAGGGGGTATTCAGAGTTCAGGGTGCGAAGTGGCTGTTCAGATAGACTGCAGGGGTCGGGAACCTTTTTGACTGGGAGAGCCATAAAAGCCCAATATTTCTAAATATATTTCATTGAGAGCCATATAGTAATTTTTTACGTATAATAAATTAAATATGTCTTACTTTTAATGCGACTTCTGGTGCTGCATGGTTTTACTGATGGCCTTGTAGTCTGGTTCATACGACTTGGTGAGGTTGAGCTTCGTGCAGGCGTGACCCGTGAAATTTATCTTCAAAACGAATTTCTGTTTACTTTAAAATGACACGGTATTATTAAGCAATATCACAAGTATTTTAAAATCAGTTCCAAACAGATTTTTTTTTTCAACTCAAAAATTGTCTGGGAGCCATATGCCGTCACTCGAAGAGCCATATATGGCTCGCGAGCCATAGGTTCCCGACCGTTGTAGCAACACTCGCCATGAACTATGAATACCACTTGCTTTAGAGCAGGGGTCCTCAAACTACGGCCCGCGGGCCACATGCGGCCCGCTGAGGACATTTATCCGGCCCATGGTCACTAATTGGGCTGCGCTTGTGAGCACTCATTGGGCTGCGGTGGTGGGCACTGATTGGGCTGCGGTGGTGGGAACTCATTGTGCCCACCGCACTGGGATTTGTGAACAAAACTGCAGGTGTAATTCACTTTTTAATGGCACCCGCACCAGTGTGAGCCTGGGGTAAAAGCGGAGTTCCCCCAATCAGACTGCATTGATGGGCAGTGCAGTCTGTACGTCTCTGTGTGGGCAAAGTTATTGCTGGTATATTGTTTTTTGTAGCGCTGTATATATTGGTATTTTACTAATAGCAATTTTGACTCCCTAGGAAACAATGATGTGAAGAAAGAGAAAAATTTACTCGGAGTGTAGGATATTCAAATAACAGTGGACTTATGATTACTTTTTCATGCAGTACAAGGAAAGAGCTGTGTGTCTGATATGCCAGAATATAGTCTGTGTTCAAAGAATACAATTTACGTCGACACTATGAAACTCAACATAAAGATGAATATGATTGTTTAGTCGGAGAAGTGAGAAAAGATAAAATATTAAAACTAAAAAATACATTAACAACTCCGCAAAATACTTTTGTGAAGCAGAAGCAGCTAAATATTTCATCACTGCGAGCAAGTTTTCAAGTTGCCAAGCTAATAGCGTGCACTGGCAGACAATTCGTGGAGGGAGAATTTGTTAAAGAATGCCTTCTTTCTGTTGCCAAAGAGATGTGTCCAGAGAAGGCCGATTTATTTAGTACAGTGAGTCTTTCAGGACCTACAATTACACGGAGGATTGAAGAAATGGGAGACAATTTGCATCAGCATTTGCAAAACTCCACAAAAAAACTTTCCTATTTTTCCTTGGCACTCGACGAAAGCAATGATGTTCGTGATTCTGCACAACTTCAAATTTTTATTCGTGGTACGAATGACTTTCAAAGTCACAGAAGAGCTTGCTGCACTGCAAAGCATCAAAGGAACAACTACAGGAGAGGATATCTATGAAAAGTTTTGCCAAACTGTGAATGGTTTGGAGCTGAACTGGGCTAAACAAGCCAGTGTGACAACTGATGGTGCTCCTAGCATGGTGGGGTCTAAGAAAGGAGTAATTGCTCGCATTAACCAAGAGATGGACAAACATAACCATTCTCATCCAATAGCCATACACTGCCTCATCCACCAACAAGCGCTGTGTAGTAAATCACTGAAGTGGGACTCTGTTATGAAAATTGTGGTATCTTGTGTTAACTTCATTAGAGCTCATGCACTAAACCACAGACAATTTCAGGAATTTCTGTCTGAGCTAAATGTTGACTATGAAGATGTTCTGTACCACACAGAAGTCCGTTGGCTGAGTCGAGGGAGAGTTTTGAAACGTTTCTATGACTTACTTTCACAGATTACAGCTTTTCTGCTTTCAAAAAACAAATAAGTACCAGAGCTCAATGATGCAGAATGGAAATGGCACCTTGCCTTTATGACAGATGTAACAGAGCTACTCAACAGTTTCAATGTGTAACTTCAAGGAAAGGGGAAGCTCATCTGTGATATGCAATCACATGTCAAAGCATTTGAAGTAAAACTAGGCCTCCTCATCAAACAAGTGAAGGAGGAAAACTTCTGCCATCTCCCCACAACTGAAAATCTGTTAGCGGAAAAACCATTGGTTGCATTCCCAAACAAAACATGTGTGGATTCACTGGAAAAATTGCAAAAGGAGTTCCAATTTAGATTTAAAGAGCGTCATCTCCATGAACAGGACATACAGCTTTTCCGTAACCCATTTTCTATTGACATTGAAAATGTGGATACAATTTACCAAATGGAACTGGCTGAACTGCAGAATTGTGACTCTCTGAAAGACGCATTCAAGTCAAGCAGCCTTCATAATTTCTATGCATCTCTCCCCTCTGAGACATATCCTCATCTCAGGAACCATGCACTCAAAATGGCAACCATCTTTGGCAGCACTTATGTCTGTGAACAGACTTTTTCCAGAATGAAACATTTGAAATCTCCAACCAGATCTAGACTAACGGATGCACACTTGCATCACTTGTTATGACTAGCAGTGACAAATATGGAACCGGACATTGACCATCTCATTAGCCAAAAGCAGGCCCATAGTTCCCATTGAAATACTGGCAAGTTTGTTGATTTAACTTTACTTGTTCATTTTAAATATTGTATTTTTCCCGTTTTGTTTCTTCACTTCAAAATAAGATATATGCAGTGTGCATAGGAATTTGTTCATAGTTTTTTTAACTATAGTCCGGCCCTCCAACGGTCTGAGGGACAGTGAACTGGCCCCCTGTTTAAAAAGTTTGAGGACCCCTGCTTTAGAGTAACTGCCGAGATAACTATGCATGCGCACATCTAAAAACTAGCCACAAGAAAACATCTTCTGGACACGTGAAAAAGATCTTAATTGCTCATCAGATTCCTCCAGTATAAATATTCTGATTTGTGAAATGTAATTCTCATCAAGCCCTATGGTGGTAAGTTCAGTCTCCAACCCCCAACTCACTCCAGCCTATTTGTGCGATAAGAGGGCCATTGTATTGTCCAAAACGTCGCCGATATTTTTTTTCATCACAGCCGCAGTGCGATCAACACGGAACGCATTGCGTTTTCCACGAACCCAAGCACTCGCTCCTTTGTGAGAATACTGCCCCAACTCAATGTGCTCACTCACCCCAACGCTGAATCGACGTAACAAGCGCTGCAGGCTGCCCCTTCTGGGCCAGACGTAGTGCCATTGTACTGTACTGCACTTTATGGTCCCCTTATTCAAGCCACACTGACCAGCTGAAAGTATGGTCAAGTAATACCCACATGCAACTCTCAGCACCAGGATGAAATCTACGATCACGTTAGTCAAGTCCATCTGAACCATTTCGTGCGAGTTAAGGAGACACGTCACATATTTAGTGGGCAAGTGTTCAAACCGGTGACCTTGAAAAAGACTCGTCACGAGTACATTATAAAAAACAAATACTTGATCAAAGTGCTAGTGGATTTGAGGTTTTAGCCGGAGAACTCTCCCGTGTGAACATTACCACTTTGAACGGTTGCCAAAAAGGAAAATGTTTAAAAGTTTAAATGTGTTCCAAGACCCCACCAAAGGGCACCAGAGCACGCACCTGCAGGCGGGCAGCGAGCCCAGCCGCATCATCGGAACTAGCCCACGGCCTGACGTGTGGCTCCAATGCAGCACGCGTCGTAGACAACGTACGGAGTAATATTTGGAATAAGTGAAAATCCTACGCAGGTTAATTCGCTTCGTGTGAATTTAATGAGTAAAGAATAATACAAATATGTTCAAATATTTTAAAAGAGTCCCAAGACAGAACGTGCGATTTGCTCAGAATATTTGATGAGGGCAAATGTGCAGTGATGCTTCACACAGCAGGTGACGGCTCCAGCTTCTGGCTTTTCCCAAAGAGAGAACGGAACAATTCCGTCCTGCACACGCAGCACACGGTACATACAGCAGACGCACAAATTGTAAACACGTTTTTTTCCGTGTGATGCATAATGGTAACGCCACGGTTGTGTGCGATGCGCAATGGAAACACCACAGTTGTGCTGTACCTGGCCTCATCGCTCATGCAGCTGTTGTCGACGGGAGCCATGAAGCTCAGCAGCTTGCTGTGCACGTTGTACCTGCATGAGGGCAGATGCCGCACAAACGTGAATATGAGCTCAAGGTACGCTACCCAGTGTTCGATTGCTGGGTTCTAATGCAAATATTCGGCAAGTTCTGCAGCAGTAGCAGCACAAACACCAAGGCAAAGAGCCCCCTCCCCCGTATAGCCTAAACAGACTATTGCAGCAAGTGCTGTTAGTGAGCACCTACGAACGCCCGGGACGCCTTTATCTCCTGTGCCGATGATCACCATAAACAATTTTACGATGATGACTAGGGAGTAAAGAATCCCAAAGGCCGATGATCACCATAAAAACTTTACGATTATGACTAGGGGGTAAAGAATCCCAAAGGCACGGAGTACAGCCAGAGACCGTCTTTGCTTGGGCTCTTGCCGAGGCATCACGATCCTCAATGTGTCTACCTTTGCCATGCTGCATGAAACGTCACCACACGAAACGTTACCACACGACCGTTCGAAGAGATATTTCTCTCAACCTGATTTTGCGTCCTTTGCTGGCTTTCGTGTCAACCTTCTTCTTAACTTTACTTCTTAACTTTTGTATCTCCAGCCACTGCCTGCAATGAAAACCACCACAAACTGTTGAAAACTGAAGTGAGCGAGCGCGCGTAGAGAGGCAACGCAATTGCTCTTTTATTCAGCATCGCACTTCCAATTAGCACGGTTGGCTACATATGGTGTGAAAGAAGTTCAACATACATACAGGGTCAACTCATAGTGAGGATGTGCGCACATTCACGTTCCCTGCACTTACACCTCAACATATGCGTGCGAGTGGGTGGTTCCAATGAGCATTACCTTCCCCAAGCGAGCTGATCGTTAGAGTCCGTGGCAGCCGTCTTGCACTCGATCAGCTCACGCAGCAGCTGTAAGTGGCAAACGGCACAAGTCTATGTGTATGTATACGGGGAGCAGTAGTGTAGCGGTTAGCGCGCTGTGCTACGAACCGGGTTCAATTCCTGCTCGTGGCCAACACTGGTGACGATTATCTGAACCGGTCCTGGACCTCCCCTAGGTCCGCTCAGCCTCAAATGAGTACCTGGTGTTGTGTAAACATCGCCACTCAGAGAAACAAAGGCGGTCGGGCATGGTGCTTTCCACCCACCCCCTCATGTGCAGTGCCAGCCTTTATTGGTTCTTGCTAACAGCACTTACCCCAACAGTCTCAGGCTATACGGGGGATTTTCATCTACGAGTGTATGGTATGACCATACTTGATTAATCCATGCGCAGTGCATTAATAAGCACCGTATTCACATGCACGCATTGTATTCACGCACACATATGCAGCGTATTCGTGCACAGCGTATTCGGGCGCAGCGTATTCTCACACGCACGGAGTGTATTCACACACTCATTGTACCTGGTGGTAGAAATCCCCATCATCAAACACCTCCGGATCAATGTCCTTGAGCTGTGACGCAGCCCGTGGTGCGACCTGCAGGTCACAGCAGCTCGTCAGCCAAAATTAACGACAAGACTTCTATGAGAGCCGCACTAACATTCACCGAGTCTACACGGGGCAACAGAGTGAGGGTTTCATGCGAGTACATCACAGAGTGCGCATCACACTCAACGAGTGCATCACAGAGTACGCATCACATCTAGACTATGTTTGTACCGCGGGATGTGACTCGTCGGTCCCCATGCCGCTGCCGCTGGTCTCCTCGTTTGGGGTCTTCCCCAGGATAGTAAAGGCAGAGCGCTTGGTTTGCGTGCGGAGGAGCAGGCGCTCACGCTCCTGCAACACGTGCTCAATTTGCAGCAGCACGGAGCGATCAAACGAGGCGAAGCCCTGCCACCAGATCACACACATAGAAAAAGATTACACACACACACAATAACAGCCGTCATTTTTCACTGAGTGGTGGTGACATCACCACAGCACTTGTGCCAAGTTAAGTGCACCTAACCTGGTTATAGCAAGCCTTCCACACTTGACGTGACCTTGAGGTCACGAAACAGACCCATGTGCCAGTTTGACTGAGAGGACTGGGAGATGCACCATGTATGGTTCCCACTGTGCCAACTTGCTGCTTTTTAGCCGCCCAGAGCTCCGTTCATTGTTGTGAACGTTGTTCCACTGCTCTCTGTTGTTGCTGGAGGACGACTGCCTCCAACTTGCCAGTAGCATCCTTCGCTGGTACCAGCCATCGACAAGTCCAATTGACTCCACATCCACCTGTTCCACATCAGTCCATCTATTCTCTAGCCAATGCCGCAACCGTTTTGCCTCCTTTATCCGGCCAAATAAAAGCTACTTAGGCATGCAGTGGCTGGGCATGTGGGCTGCATGACCCAGCTAATGCAGCCTCACCTCCCAAAAGGAGCTCACCGATGGGACAGTGTCCAAATCTTTCAATAATCTGTGAGCTCACATAATCCAGCCTATAATAATAATAATTTACTTGAACCCTGGATGGATCATAGACAGCCCAGCCTGATTTTTTCAAACCCCGCATCTCCCCGGGGAGCATTCCCCACTCATTCTACAATTACCTTCATCTTGCCTCCGCTGAGTTTAGTTTTGTCGTGCCACTTTTGAATGACGGCATTGCGATGATGCTTGTAGGCAGTGAATCTCTTGGCGGAGAAGTCGGGGTATTCGTCCATGAGCAGCGAGCGCTTGCTGGGCACTCGGCCCCCCTGAGGGAGAGCAGCACTGCCTGGCTGCTCCTCCCAACTGCCAAAGCAAGACAGATGGTGGCAGCACTGAGCTCTAGCTGCACTTGCACAACATCCATGCTGCACCCGAGCCCAACCATTCCAAATCAACAAGTCACTCAATCACACACACATGCTCTCCGACACCACCCAGACGCTACAAACACACCGAAGCAGAGACACAGTGCACACACAAATAAAAGATGAAGACAGAAATACCCTGTAAAGCCTTAACAGACTTTTGGGGCAAGTGCTGTTAGCGAGCACCTATTAAGGCACGGCACTTGAGAGGGTGGACGCGCAGCACCATGCCTGGTCACCTTCATCTCCCTCATGGTGATGTTTACACACTGCATCATGTACTCATTTGAAGCAGAGTCGATCGAGGGGACACCCAGCACCGGTTCAGATAATCATCACTGGTGTTGGCCGTGAGTGTGAAACAAACTCGGGTCACCGAGTTCGTAGCGCAGCATGCCAACCAATGTGCCACCGCTCCTCACGCCACATACAAAGAGATTCCCCATTCAGCCTTAACAGACTGTTGGGGCAAGTTCTGTTAGAGAGCACCTATGACGGTCGGAACAGCACACGAGGGGGTGGCTAGCCAACACCACGCCTTAGTGGCGATGTTTATACATCGCACAGGTACCCATTTGAGGCCTAGTCGACCTAGGGGAGGCCCAGGACCGGTTCAGATAATCGTCACTGGTATTGGCCGTGAGCAGAAATAGAACATGGGATGCCAGGTTCGTAGCACAGCGTGCTAACTGCTATACTACCGCTCCCCACTGCACAAACACACTCATACACGCACTCAACGGTACCGCCCAGACACCAGCAACACACAGAAGCAGACACCGAGACAAAGATACACACTTGTGCAGGCTGCTCCTGTCCACCATGTGCTGTGTGTCTGCATTTGAGTGCAGTAGGTGGTTCTGCAAGTCGGTCAGTAGCCTCATTTGCTCCAGGAGCACTGAGCGACCTAAACAGCAGACAAGCACAGAGTACGTCACACGGATCAGCAATGCCCGTTAGTAATAGTCTGTAATTACAATGCAATTTGAGTTAGCGCAGCATCTCAATGCAACAGTATCTGAAGCAGCTTCACAGCAGAGGACGTGTGGAAAACAGTCAAGGCCATATTGGAGAATGTAAACTCCGGTCCTGGTGACAGCCCACGCTCCTTCGTCTGTTTATGATCGCCAATCTCTTGCATTCAGAAGCAAAGCAAGGCACTGCATAAGCCTGAGGTTGGGTAATCATGCCAAGCAAACTCTTGTATTGTGAACTAGGAGCCATCTCTAACAGAGAGGGTCCTTGCCTATAAACATGGTTGACCAGTATTGGCTCAAGCGAAGCACGATTGCCGACGAGACACTGAATTTTGTAACCGGCGTCTCGTATGTGCATTTGTTTAGCTGCTCGAGGGCAGCTCAGGGTGAAGCGACTCACTTTCGCCAAGTGTGCGCGACAGGGCGTCGCCAGAGCGTGCCTTGAAGCCGGGCAGCGTGTCGGGCTGTGGGAGGCGGTTACAGATCTCCAGTGCCCGTTGCATCTTGATCCGAGCTTCCAGCAAATGATCCCAAAGGCCTGCACATCCAAACACGGGCAGCTGCACTAGCGCCTCTGACAAGCCCACTCTGGGCACAACATATCGATATACCAGGGACGCACAGCCAACACACTGTCACAAGCAGCATAGGAAATATTATGCAATGCGGTCCAATGACTAATTTTCATAAATACTCCTTGCACAATTTATTATGGTTACCAGCCACTTTACAACAAATATGCCCTTCGCAGCCAAACTTGGAAGTCCTGACCTTTTCCTAATTACCCTTCACATGTGGGCCTTTGAAGTGGCCAAGTCGGAGCACCGGGCCAATGGCAGCATCAGACAAACGCCGACGTGGGCTGGCTTCCACAGAGCAATTCAGCGCAGGCGCGGCCCACAAGGCGGACAGCATCTTCCGTTCTACCGTGACGCAGTGGAACCGATGCAAGCACTGGTGAGAAGTTACACATGCGTACCAATTTGTCGTTTGATGGCCTGACCCTTGCCCACCTCTTCATCAATCTCTTCTGACTGAAATGTTACCACTCCTCCATTCTCAGGTTTGTGCAGTCCACCCTGTAACAGGCCTTCCCTGTGGAACGTCAAGTTAAGAAAAAAAAAATACGTGACATATCGGGGTCAATGGTCAAATCAATAATATCTTTACAATGTCGTTCAACACGCATACATACATACATTAGTTTGCCAAAAAAATGCTGATGCACGTCACATTTCAGTCATTTAAAATTAAATGCTGAATCAAAGTTTCTAATAACACCAATTAAATTGCTTTCTATAAATAGACTTCCCTCTAATGCTCTCGTGTGTGAATATAACTGTGTACAGGCCCAATCGCCAGTGAAGTGGACGTGGCAACAAATTTAATTTTGAAGCAACGGCTTCAAACATCAGACAGGAATCCCGCTCTCCCTGGTTTGGCGAGCTCAAGCTGTCACCAGTCATCCATCACTCTCCTGCTACTGCTGCGAATCATTAGAGAGTCAAGGCCCCGGTGGCAGGGTGTTTTGGTCTGCAAGAGCGGCGCTACTGGCTCAGCTCGCACCAACCCACATGCATCTCAACTTCCTTCTTCGGTTTAGAACAATTAAACCTCTTAACCAGGTGATACAACACAGGTGTTAAGATAGTCTGGCAAAAAGGGTCCCATAGCTATACCTCTTAACCAGTTTTATCAGTTTGGGTTTGGATTCGTCTACATTTAAAACACATCTTTCGTCACTTTCTTATAAATGCACTTATATTTCTCCTAATAGAGATGTCTTTAAATTCTTCTTATTTGACACAAACCCAATTAACTATGACCGTGCTAGTGGAAGAGACTCAAGGATTGTGAACTCTACGATGTGCACCCTTACTCTTCAGATGTCACCTCCTCCTCTTCATCCATGACATTTCCATCAGCGTCATCATCATCGTCATCATCACCAGGGCTTTCATTTTCGTCATCGTCTTCCTGAAGTTGCTGCTCTCCAGGGCGCGCGTGTTCCCACGTCGCGCTCGTGATCGCTGCAGGCCCTTCCTCCTGCTCCTCCGCCTCCACTTGCACTTCGCTTGCAGCTCCTACCGAACTCGCTGCAACGACAGATGGGTCCGAGGTGAACGCGTTTCACGGTCTATCCACCGCTAGAGTGTGTGCCCTTCTGGAAACACATGGGACGTGTTCTAAATTGAAAACTCGTTTCTTTCTAACTGCTTTTTGTGTTTCATTTGTTTTCCTTCCCCCAGCACCTGATTAGCAAGATTGGCTGCATACAGTGCGCGAAAGCAGTTCAACATACAGTGAGGGAAAAAAGTATTTGATCCCCTGCTGATTTTGTACGTTTGCCCACTGACAAAGAAATGATCAGTCTATAATTTTAATGGTAGGTTTATTTGAACAGTGAGAGACAGAATAACAACAAAATCCAGAAAAACGCATGTCAAAAATGTTATAAATTGATTTGCATTTTAATGAGGGAAATAAGTATTTGACCCCCTCTCAATCAGAAAGATTTCTGGCTCCCAGGTGTCTTTTATGAAGGTAACGAGCTGAGATTAGGAGCACACTCTTAAAGGGAGTGCTCCTGTATAAAAGACACCTGTTCACAGAAGCAATCAATCAGATTCCAAACTCTCCACCATGGCCAAGACCAAAGAGCTCTCCAAGGATGCCAGGAACAAGATTGTAGACTTACACAAGGCTGGAATGGGCTACAAGACCATCGCCAAGCAGCTTGGTGAGAAGGTGACAACAGTTGGTGCGATTATTCGCAAATGGAAGAAACACAAAAGAACTGTCAATTTCCCTCGGCCTGGCGCTCCATGCAAGATCTCACCTCGTGGAGTTGCAATGATCATGAGAATGGTGAGGAATCAGCCCAGAACTGCACGGGAGGATCTTGTCAATGATCTCAAGACAGCTGGGACCATAGTCACCAAGAAAACAGTTGGTAACACACTACGCTGTAAAGGGCAGCCTCGAAACCTTAATGACTTGGAGAAGATCTGCAAAGAGGAGTGGGACAAAATCCCTCCTGAGATGTGTGAAAACCTGGTGGCCAACTACAAGAAACGTCTGACCTCTGTGATTGCCAACAAGGGTTTTGCCACCAAGTACTAAGTCATGTTTTGCAGAGGGGTCAAATACTTATTATTGCATTAAAATGCAAATCAATTTATAACATTTTTGACATGCGTTTTTCTGGATTTTTTTGTTGTTATTCTGTCTCTCACTGTTCAAATAAACCTACCATTAAAATGATAGACTGATCATTTCTTTGTCAGTGGGCAAACATACAAAATCATCAGGGGATCAAATATTAAAATTATAGACTGATCATTTCTTTGTCAGTGGGCAAACATACAAAATCAGCAGGGGATCAAATATTTTTTTACCTCACTGTACATACATAAGATCATGCCATATTCTGGTTTAAAATTGCAAGACACTTTCTGAAAGCCCATAGGACACACAGGAATCCTCTTCCCTCCGGTTACGTGCGGTGACCGCATCACAGACGAACACTTACAAGATTGCTTGCTCCCACACCATTGGGCATTGCCCGCAGTCCGCGCCACCTATGCCGGTGGAATCATCTCTTGATTGGACATTGCAGATTCCTTTGACGGGGTTTAGTTTATCCATAGGAAAACTACTGTTGACTTCCTTTAAATAATGGTAGTAATTTTATCGACCGATGAGGAATGATGGGCCGAGTTAATCCCCAATCAGGATTTACACTCGCAACCTCCAATTGCGAGCCGCTCGCTGCACCACTGAGCCACCAAGCCTGAGTTACAATCCAGGGAACGGTTAACAGTTGCAGCACTCACCATCATCGCTTCCATCATCATCATCATCCTCATCGTGGTGGTCTCCGAGGAGGTGGAGGTCCTGGCGCGTCGCGATGAGGCCGCGATAACGCGCGTCGCTCTCTGCGAGCGCGGCGCGGCGCCGCAGTACGCTGGGCCCAACCTCATCCTCCTCGTTCTGCGCAAAGCGCTCAGCAAGCCGAGCCCCGCAGCAGCCTGCACATAGAGAGACACCCTGTAGGGAAATCTCCCTCCACACACTCACACAGTGCGCGCACTTGCGATCGCACCACGCGGCTTGGCGACCCATTTTGCCATTGTGACCCCCGTGTTATTATTAGGAAGCCACTTGAGCACATCTCGATTGAAAACGAATTTCTTTAGAACTGCGTTGTGTTTAGTTTGTTGTCCTACCCCCGCACCTCTCGATGAACACGGTTGGCTACGTACGATGCGAAAGAAGTTCAAAATACGGCACATACATCATGGCCCCCGTGTTACAATGACTCTGTGCGAGACCCGCCGTGTACCTGTGTCCGCGTCTTCGGGGTCCACGGCGCGCGGAGTCGGGTTGAGCAGCGCCGAGAGACTCTCCGAGAGAGACATGGTCCTCACCCTCCCACTCACCCCTCACTCACTATCACCCTCGCACCCACCCCCTCACTCGCTCACTCCTGCACCCACCCACTCACTCACGCATCCACTAAATCGCCCCTCTCCGCAGACGCCTCTCTCCTCCACAGCCGCACGGATCCTCCCTGTGTCTCTACAGCTCCACGCACTGTACTCTGCCTCCTACACGTGCTCTCTGTATAACTTTATTGGTAGTCTCGCACCGTGTAACTTTATTGGTACCCTTGCAGTGTCGCCGTATCTCCTTGTGTAACTTTATTGCTACATCGCTTCGTGTAACTTTATGACTACCCTCGCTCTGTATAACTTTATTGGTACTCTCAGTGTAGCTTTATTGGTACCCTTGCGATGTATAACTTTATTGGTACCTCGTTCGGTGTAACTTTATCGGTACCCTCGCACTGTGTAACTATCGATACTCCCGCTTTGTGTAACTTTATTGGTATCACTTTCTGTACTGTACTGTACAGTATATCTTTATTGTGCTGCCGGGCGCAGTGTCGCTCTGTGGGTCGCCATGGATCGGCTGAGCGCGGGTAACGCTCCGTTTGTGTCTCTCCGCCTCTGCCTCTCTGCGCCCCCCGTCCAGCCTCGTGTAGCAGGAGCGGTTGTTTACGATTGGCAATCACCACGACGGCTCTCGTCGCCCGCTTGCTGGGTAGCGACCCCCCCCCCCCCTACGGTGGGCGATGAGCTGGAGGGTTGCAGGCTGCTGTGTGCATCACTGCCCCCCCACCCACCCTCCGTGTGTGTGCGCCCCCCACCCTCCGTGTGTGTGTGTCACTTGTGTGCCCCCCACCCTCCAGTTGATCCGTTCGCGCGGCCCCCGTGCCCCGGCTGCTCCTCGTATCTCGTGGAGCCGTACATCAAGTGCAGTCAGTGCGGACCCCCTCCGCTGCTGCTTTGCCTGCAGGTACAAACACGGCACACCCCCCTCATTCCCCACAGCTAGCAGTAGTAGCAGAGGGTGGGGGGTGCCTCGCCGCCGCCGTCGTCATCGCTGTAAATCCAAACAGATTTGTGAATAAAATAAATTATAATCCTACAAACACGAACGCAATAACGGTAACGTCAAAAGCACTTCAGCCTGCACCGTTCACACTCTTATGAGGGAGGGCACTTGTGAAGATGTGTGGGACCACTGGTTTGGCTGTTAAACCCATGCAACAACAAAAACAGCATATCATAAACTCCTTTAAAACGTTTTTTTTTAAACAACGGTTTTATTAACAACTTCGTTTTACTCGCGTTCGAGAAGTCAGTCAATGGCGCCTGAAACACGCGGCGCCTGCGTTTTGTGCGAGCCGATTCCACAGTTTAGGGACCGCGGCGTTTTTGACCTACACAAATATATAAATAATAAGTCGTCCATACAAAATGTTAATTGCTTGAAAGTAGCGAATTAATTGATGCCGATTTTGATACAGGCATGCATTGTCACCGGATCTGAGTACGTGTGCAAAATGTGGAATTGATTGGACAACGGGAAGTAGACTAAATTTTATTACAAGATTTGACCACGACAAACAGGAATCGAGTTAAGTAAAACCGTTGAACAAACGCTTATCAGACTTAAAGCTTTCGTGACTGCAGGAATTCATATTCTTTGGGTCTTTCGGTAAAGCCACATAGATAGAAGAAAAAGAAAATATGATTTTTTTTCTACGTGGCTTTACCGAAAGACCCAAAGAATGCACACTTATAAAGGTTTTAATCACATGAAAAGAAAATCCTAAAATAGTTTCAGAGAGCCACGCCAATCGCTGCCTAGCAGATTTCATGCAGATTTTTTGTACTCAGACGTCGGGTTGAAAATGCACGAATATAAACATTGACAAACCAAGTTTGCCGCTCACAGACTTGGTAAAGTGCACTTGACATTGGAGTGACTGAATAGGTAGCCTCTGTGCGTGGATTGTGTGTTTACACCGCTTGTACTCAACGCGCGTGTGGGACATGTGCGGCAGTGTTTTGCACAGGGCCTGGAGTTAAGGAGCCATCGCAGTGAGCACAGCTATGAAATCGTGGTGAGTGCTGCAAGTCGTCACCTTTGCCCAGTCTTCACCTTTGCCCAGAGCGCGCTGGTGCATCAAGCGCACGGCAGCCTTGCAGAGAGCACCCATGCACATCAAAGGCACCCCCCCCCCCCGTGTAGCCTGTGTTGGGGCAAGTGCTTTTAGCGAGCGCTTATGAAGGTCGGCACGGCACACGATGGGGGTGGGTGGCCAGCACCAAGCCCGGCCGCCTTTGTCTCTCCAGTGGCGATGTTTACACACTGCACCAGGTACTCATTTTGTAGCCGAGTCGACCTAGGGGAGACCCAGGACCAGTTCAGATAATCGTCACTGGTGTTGGTGGCCCTGAGCGGGAATTGAGCCCGGGTGGTCAGGTTCATAGCGCAGCGCGCTAACCGCTACACAACCGCTTCTCACGCACACGCTATGTGGGGATCTTTGAGAAGGGCTCGGCGACATATCCCCAGTCCATTGAGATGCATTTTCACAATTCACGGGGCGATTCAAGATTCAGTAATTCAGTTCTGCGCAAGGAATGTCAATTTACGTTTATTAGCCGACTTACATGGAGCCGTGAAATGCACAATTAATCGAAACATTTTGATTATTACCCCCGTGATTCTGTGCATATATCATACGGTTAAGAGTTAATATTTATCAAGCAATGCCTCGTGACACCCATAAACTTTAAGATGAAAGCGGCGACCGGAAATGTTAATAGCCCACTAAGCTGCGCGAACAGCAGCTCAACAATCAACAAAAACCGCATCTGTTTGATTTTGACTGTCATTCGTCATTAGTTGGGACGTTTGCTGCATTGTCTCCACCAACACGACAGGCATTAGGCCCGCAAGGTAACACTGGTGTGTGCTATTGCAGTCCAGTCGTCTCACTCAGAGCAGTGGGCGCACCTGAGCACCACCTCGCCCCTCTTGTGTCCCCTCTGCAGACGACAGATTTCCCGGTGCTCGACATCGGCTGGACGGCACAGGAAGAGATGACGCTGCTGGAAGCTGTTCTGGACTGTGGGTTGGGAAATTGGTGAGATTCCTTATCCTTCGCAGTGTCCATCACGCGTTCTCAAAGAGCGTGAATAAAAAAAAGCACCACGCTGCACTGACTGTCTTCCCTTGATTCCTGCACCGATAATACTGCACCTACAGATCCGCCGATAGCACTACACCTACGGCACTAAACCTGTCGTTCTAATTTTTTATTTGCGTGTTTCGTTGTCTAGGGTGTAATTGAATAATGACAGTAACCCATTCAAACCAGAGCTGTTTGATATAATCGCATGCAACGCAATGGTTGAACACAGTGGCAAACCACACACGCGGAAACAAGACTTTAATGCAAGAAAGTATTTTCTTTATTTAAAGCCAGAACATCTGTCATTAATATGCAACCGGTGTTTGGTAAAACTTATAACACTGTTACGAAGGTTTTTAATTTGAATGAAATAGCGCATAAAGTAGGCAATGCTCTGTATATATAAAAGCAATGAACATAAAACAATCCAATATCAAAAGTAGTACATATTTATGCACTACTAATACATTATAAGGCCTTAATACCACAGACCCGAAGTAGTTGTGATACGTATTGATGAATGAACTTTCAGCACAGTCTGTTATCCTTTGTCACAGTCAATGAACATGCGCCTTCTGCTTGTCAGAGTTATTGCACACGATGCCTCCTCCGGTGCAGTCCGGATGTTAACAGCGTGATGCCGCAGCGACAATGCTACATGCTAGCAGTGGAGCTGTCAGCTTGATGAACAAAGGCCCCGTCACAGTGACGATGCAGTTTTGGGCCATTAATGAGAGCACAGCGGCAGTGCAATCAGCGCTGAACTCTTGACGGAGTGCATATATGATCTTCTTGTAGATTTAAATCAGGGGTGGTGAACGTCCGGCCCGCGGGCCGTATAAGGCCCACAAAATCATTTGGTCTGTTCCAGCCATCACATTAGGGGTGAGGTAATTAAATGTTTGACCAAATATAACAGGCAAATTTTTAAGTTGATAATTTTGTATGGCCCGTGAATAATGTTATAAATATCCAAATGACCCTTGGCAGAAAAAAGGTTCCCCACCCCTGATTTAGACAGTGACTGCACTCTCCGTCAGGTGACAGATGGACAGATTTCTTCACCATGATGATAATCCACAGACTCATGTTGATTACAGCTTGTTTTCACCTCTTTGTGGATATTCTCCTCAAGTCATACTTATTCACGAACCACTCTTGACACTTTCACTCTTCAAAAATGGCAAATCTTCGGATCTTCTTTAAACAGCTCCAATGCTCTATTATTTCAGCTTCTCCACTCCTGAAGCATCTCAATAGCGTATTGCTATTAATTCATTACAGCTGTGTTACAGCTTCTCCTCTTCTGCTTCTCCACTGCCTTCCACTATTCGTTCAGTGGTGGCTTATCTTGATGGTGTACATCCGGGTCTCGTGATGGGGCGGCTTTCCAAGCTATTGCGCTCAGCCAATGTGAACCACACACAGTGTCCTAGCCACTACTGATCTGCCCACATTTCAGTGGTGGCATGTGTAGATATACTGAAATCATGAATTGACAAATATGTAGTGACATAGCGCTGACTGTTAGACAGCAGCAGCAACTGCAGGTGGGCACTTAGCGCACACGCCACTGAGCATATACGCGGGTGTGCCGGCAGGGCGGAGGAACTGGGGTAAGGGTCATGATAGACCTCGTGTGGAAGCCCTTGGAACCCTCTCGAGGGTTCGAGAAGGGAGGCGTGGCTAGGGCAGAGCCAAGCCGCGCCGAGGGGAATAAAAGCAGCGGAGAGCGAGAGCTCCGGGCTGCCGGTTCTGGGGTTGGACTCATCTCGTCTCGTGGTCGGTGTCGTCGTCCTCGTCGCTGCCGCCTTCACGCGATCATTGCGTTGCTGGACAGCCGTTGGCTGTTCCGGTCGACGCCATCGGTGCAACGCAGACAGGGTCATGTCTGGGACAGGGCGTGCGGCAACGGGGTCATGTGTGAGAGAGAGGGCCCGAGTGGTGGCGTGAGCTCGGCAACAACAACGAATAAAGAGGGCAGAGCGGTGCCTCCTGCAAACACCTCATCTCCGGCTGACTGTGTGTGCGTCGCACGCCACCCGCATGCACAGACGACACTACAAGTGTATGCCAATTTATTTTATTTCTTATCCGATCTTTCCCATGAAAAAGAGCTGCCTCTTTCCAATTGCTATAAGTCCTCGTTTAACGCGATAGAGGCGTTCCTGAAAAGTACCGCATTAAGCGACAAACAATTTCCCCATAAATCATGTATCGATAAAGTTTGGCGCGATACGATATACTACGCACACACAGTAAGATGGCGAGAGTAAAATAACTGAGGGTACGCCGCCACATTACCTTATCATTCCTTGTACTGTATCATACCGCTCACCCCCTCAGCACAAGAAAGTAGTTTGTCGTCGACCGCACAGAAACTGCTTTATAACGAGGGCATTCCACGTTATAATGGGCACGTTCCGCATTATAACGGGCACATTCCGCGTTGTGCGAAAAGTGTTCCCTAATCGAAGAACTACGTTTTACTGATGCGTTTTGTGAACATGCGTTAAGCGAGGGCTTATAATGAAAGCTTTTACAGTATTGTGCCTCCCTTTTTAGAGGTAGAGAGTGTATGTTTAGCTTGATACAGCTGCGAGCCATTAATTTCGTGGTCGGCAAAGGAGAGCACTTCTCTCCCTTTCTATGCCCAAGTCGGCTCTCAATGCTGTTTTGTGTTGTGACTCTTAGGTCAGTTTGACTCCGGTTTGTGGTCTCAAGTTCACCGAATGAAAACACAGGAAAAGCTCTGTTATCTGGCACTTTACCATCCGGAATTCTCTATTAACCGGAAGTTGTTATATACGGCAATATAAATCTTCCTTTACGTATCCGGATAAAATCCGATAGCCATTTGGCATCTTGCCATGTGCTTCTAATATATCTGTTTACCGAAGCTTCAGGACGTCGTTGAGTGGTGTCACTAGCGGCAGTGTTAATTGTAAACATCTGCCATTGTGATGCATTAACTTCGTATACTGTACTCTAAACTGCCGCACTGCTTCCCTACAATCAACTTAGAATGCTCTATCACTGACTGCTGAGTACTTTTGTAAAAGAGTATATTATTTCTTAATAATATAAAATGTAGGTTTAATTTATTTTTCTAAAGTTTTATGAACTTGAGCCATAAGTCTCACTCTCAAATAATATTTGAGAGTGAGACTTATGGCTCGCCAAATTTGATTAACTGGCACCCTCCATTCCCCATGGATGTTGGATAACAGCTTTTCCTGTATATATAAACTTTATGCAACCAGAGCAACTACTGCATTATTATACTCATCTAATTTGTTCAATGGTATAACCACGACACCTCATATCACCACACACATCTCCTATTGCACACCACTTATAGCACCACACAGCACTGCACCTAGAGCACTACACCTGTAGCACCACATCTGTAGCACCGCACCTGCACTCAACCTACAACACTGCACCTAGCAGCTGTGTGCTTTCACACTCCCGTGTTGTGCTGTGGCCTAGGCAAGATGTGGCCAATCAGATGCGGAGGAAGAGCAAGGAGGAGTGCGAGTGGCACTACATGGAGCGCTATATCAACAACCCCCATTTTGCGTCTCCCGCAGCCGGCACGGGGCCTAGCGACAGGGCGGAGGCCACCGCCGTTGCTGCCCCCATTGCTTTTCAGGGTATGCAACACCACAAGGGCTCGGCCCAGTGCTATGCAGCTTCCGCCATCTCCTTGAAGAGCGAAACGGCTTTAAAATCTCTCCGAACAGATGCATCATTGATCTGTGTGTGAGGGGCATCTCGGCTATTGTGCAATAATCTTAACGCGTGGGGTTGGTCATTCGGGTCAGCCTGGAGGTCATCTCTTGACCACTGTCTCGATGCGTATTTATTCCTGTTGACAGAGGGAACTGCTCCAAAAGAGTCTATAATAGTGATTGACACAGTCGTTCTCTTGCGGGATACGGCGTGAAGCTGAATGGGAACCCTGCTTCAGGCTTCCGACGCCATGACACGTTCGCCTGATGTCGCCATGTATCTGTGATTTTCATTGGTAGTGGAGGGCAGGCGTTTGCAAGGAGCGATTTGCCTTCCCCGCTCATTTTTATGAAATGTCACGGTTTGGGGTACTGATTTAAATCAAGGATAAATTTTGTCTTTCAGTAATTTTTGAAAAATTATAAATGAGGATTTATTTATCCAGACAATGGTAGCGCATGCCTTTAATCCACCACTGTGAAGACAAGGATTGGCAGAACACACTAATGTCAAGGTGCCATACCGTGGCTTGCCACCGTTTGTATGGTATAGAGCAGTGGTTCTCAACCGGGGGTACACGGACCCCTGGGGGTACGTGAGGTGATTTATAAATGTGTGAAATTATATCATACATGAGTCATTGGTGAATAATCATGGATGAATCTGCCAATATAAAATAACTACAATAAAATGTTTAACCATATGGTAACCTAGATCTACATTAAAGACTTTTCTAAACTCATTGACCATAAACAATTTGGTTTCCAAGAGTAACCGCGGAGCGCGGACCAATTTTACGTCATACATGCAGAGTGCCCTTGGAATTTTTTCTTATTCGCTTGCAGTTACGAGCTAGCTAGGATACCTCACAATGTGTAAATGGTTAAAACATTGATGTTTATTATTCATGCATAAATTTTTTTGAACCATGTTGAGTCAGGAAGGGGGGTACAGTAGCCAAAAAAAGGTCTGAACCACTGGTATAGTGTATCTCCCTCAGACTTGTGGGTTTTTCCTGGTTTCTTACCACGTGTAGAAACACTTAATTGGCCCATAGCACCTGAATACAGAAGACCGCAGAACCTCGCCAATTGTTAGCGCCGACTCTCCGCAGCAATTGTTAGCGCCGACTCTCCGCGTCCCTGCTGCCTTTCCCGCAGTGTCTGTTGTTCTTCCCGCAGTGTCTGTTGTTCCTCCTCGTGCCTCTGAGTCATTATCTCCTTGCGAGAGTGAGTGAATGCTGTGTGCGTTACAAGTTGAAAGTATTATCTAATGGAGTTTGTGACATCTTCAACAGCAAATGATTGACGAAAGTCTTCATGGTTTAATGAAGGAGATGCGCGTGCGTGTGTGTGCGTGAAGCTTGCGAAGATCCTCCGAGGCCGGGACTTGACTCGGCAGTGGCAAGGGAGATGGCCGGGTACATGCCGGCCCGATCTGACTTCTGCCAGGCAAGATGGTGACCCCATGGCGCAGACACATGGGGGGCACGCCGCCGGCCTTGGCATCCCGTTGAGATGGTCCGCCAACGCTCACTTGCGCAGCATCTGCGACTTTTACACCTAGGGGACATTCCATGTGACCCGGCAGTGTGCGCCGTGTAATTGCACACGTGTTTATTTATTTTCTGCGTGGTTGGGCGCGATAGTCATTGTGTAAGTGCGTACTGTATAGTAATAGGCCTAATGTATGTATGTTGGACCTTTTTCGCACCATACGTAGCCAACTGTGATAATCGGAGGTGCAGGGGAAGGACAACAAATGTGTTCATGTGTTTGTCTACACGTGTCATGACGTGATTGCAATATGTGTGTCATCTGATGCCCTGGATACCTGTGCGTAAGAGACGTTGCATCTCAAGGGATTATCCCACGTGAAATATTTGAAAAATAAAGATCAGGCCATGGGTCATCACAGTTGGCTCAGGGCGGATAGCATCTGTAATATCATAGAAGTACACCTTGTTTAAGTTAAGTAATATACGTTTATCATGATTTGATGTGTGGTTGGTTTTATTTCAGGAGTTTGATAACTATGCTGAATGGGACTTGAGGGACATAGATTTTGTGGAAGATGACTCTGATGTCTTGCGTGGTGAGTAAGGTGGCTCTGATGTGTCACGTGGTGAGTAAGGTGGCTCTGATGTGTAGTGCGGAACCAATGCAGGTTCTTTGACATGTCACAATGTGCTCGTTTGTTTCGTACATTCAAACATGTCGTCACACTTGTAGCACGCACTGCACTCGCCGACGCTGCAGAGAGCCCTTGCAGGGAATGCATGGAAGCTTTGGGGAGTGCAGACCACTCCTGCATTCAGAACGATTCTACTCTCCAGGCAATGCAGCAGACGTGAGGCGAGTTGAGGTTTTCAATTAAAACATAGGACCAGAATAGGTAGGCATGCTCCAAGAGAATGGACCACAATGAATGGTGGTCCATTTGTTTACCAAAGCATTTGCAAGAAACTAAATGAGTATTTCTCTTGCCAACAGGAATGTTGTTTCTGCAGCGCCAATTATTTGTATCTAATGCAGAGAAATGTGCTTATTGTAACAATCGCCTAGGGTTCCAACCCATTTTGGCCCAGGCTGCATTGCTCATGGGTGTAATTTAGAGCCTCCATGGTAAAGCATATATCCTTGATTACGAATAATCAGGTACGTGCAGTGTGATTTTGCAAAATACACATCGAGATTGGTCATCACAAGAGTTGGAGCTGTGGGGGGTACTGAGCCCCCCCTTAGTGGACACTGCATGATCTTCTCTCTCACAGCCCTGAAGATGGCCGTGGTGGAGATCTATCACTCTCGCCTCAAGGAGCGGCAAAGGCGTAAAAAGCACGTAGCATACTCTATACGAACTGCTCTACATGAACTGCTCTACACGGACTGCTCTACATGAACTGCTCTACACGGACTGCTGTATTCATACATTTGTTTCTTTGTATAAAAGTAAAAGGGATCATTTGTTTTTCAGAATTGTTCGTGACTATGGACTCATTAACCTTCGCAAATTCCAAGGTATGCTTTTTTGCCAAAGGGAATTATTTTTTTTAATAGAGGGAGTTGGTGATTGTGGGAATCTTGGTTGGGAGTTCCTATCCAGGGGAGGTGGAACATTCCTTCTCTATGCTCTACATTCTTCCACGCTTTTTCGTACAGAGAGAGAAGCCATTTGCGTGGAAGGTTCCGCTCCACGTCGCGTGGAATACGTGGGCAGTTTTACTGTCGTTGCCACTCTTCTAATTACTTTATTCGATAGCTGAACTACTTCAATAATGTGTTCAAGGAAATTACTTCCTTATTGTGCATGTTAAAACATGGCGCGGTTTATAACTGATTATGAGTTTGATTAAGAGTGAACATGTGCAACGAGCGTTGTTTACAAACGGCTGCTTGGTTCTGTGCTTGGGCTGCGTCTCTGCAGTCCTGGAGCGACAAAACAGCAAAGAGGTGCGGGATTTAAGCGAGGCCATTCGTCCCTTTGCTAAGACGATGAAGCCCTTGGAGATGGACAAGCTGATCGAGAGCTATGCACGTGAGTTTTAGTATTACACCGGAACCAGAAACACCATTGGAAATGATTGATGGTCGCTCTCATTGAGACGCACCCACACAGTTGCTAGAGGCAGCAGGGAAAGGAAGGAAACCACAGGTGAATATTTGTCATGATTAAGTTGAAGCAAGTTAAACTATGCAGGGACAGCTACTCGTGAAATGAGGGTATGCATGCACATCACAGACTAAGTTTGCTACATGGTGCATGCTTACGAGTGTAAGAGGTGGATTGCAGAGTCGAGTGTTGATGTGTGGAGCGTCGGGTGATGCTGCTTTCCTTGTCTCGTTTGCAGTAGAGTGTGAATTGCGCAAGGATGTCCAACGGCTACAGGATTACCGTGTCTGTGGAGTCACCACCTTCAGAGGTACGCACCGCATTTTCCAGTGCCAGCTGTCCTTCCCTCAATGTGTCACATGCACACGATATTGTAGGCCGAGTGAAACTCTTTAATCTCAACAGGCTGACGAGTGCGGAGCTTGACCTTGGTAATGAAATGCATTTGTTCAGTCTTCGTCGCAGCCCGTGAAGCAATAGCAGCGAAACGCATCGGCTGCTGAGCACCGTGCTTGTTGTGAAAGGCCTTGGTGCAATCAGACTCGACTGGGTCATGGAGACCATGGAGAGAGGTTTTTCAGAAAGGTGGGAGAAGATGCCCCTTTCAGGGCCTTTGCAAGCGAAGGAAGGGTTTGGATGGGATGGAGTCTGTAGCAATGTTTGGGTCCAGTGCTGGTTTCTTTATTACAATGGAGGCATTCAAGAATCTGATAATGTAGGGACCAGCATATAACAGCCAATGAGTGATTGGTGGGCAGAAGATCCCTGATGGATTAAGACTGCTTATGGTGGGGATACGGTGTTGAGAGGAGGTGGTGGAATGATGAGTAGACAAGGCCACTGGAGAGGGAAAGTTGGATGCCAATGCTCAATCCTGAGTGTCTCAACCTTTGTTAAGTAGGAAATTAGTTGATCACACTTGGCAGCTAACAGGGTAGTGGAGGAAGTTATGGTGGCCTTAACTCGTCACCCCATATTGTTTCACCCATTACAAAATACAGTCTGAAACAATGTCAAGAGTCACTGTAGTTATCACACCAGCATTGAGACATCACAGGCAATGGTGCTCTTCAACCAGTATCCCACGTTGAAAGATTGTAACAGATCATCACCAATGTTATGGCACTAGTTTGTTCTGCACAAGAAAGTCTCTTTGTCGATGCCAATCGCATTGCGCCCTCTCTCTGGTTGATGTCTATTGTTCGATGCATAGGAGCGCGCGTGTATGAGCGGCTGCTCGTGCGCCGTGAGGAGGAGAAGCTGCGGCGCACTGTACTACAGGATGTGATGCAATACGTGCAGGACCCCAACGCCTGCCAACAGTGGCTGCAGCGGCAAGCAGCTCTGTGAGACACGTGCGCACATACCTACATTGTTCATTACACACACGCTACACACCATGTGTACTTTGCTTGCATTAACATGGTACAGGTTCACAATGCAAAGGACTTTTTTCGATTTAAAGCTTTCGTGACTGCAGGGATTCATCTTCTTGGTTCTTTCGGTAAAGTCACGTAGAAGGGAAGTAATAAAATAATTATTTTATTACTTCCCTTCTACGTGACTTTACCGAAAGAACCAAGAAAATGCAAAGGACCTTTGAGTTTTTTGTTGTTGGTGATGGCTGAGCGAGACCTTCATCCAATGGCGGATTGATCATGGCTCGTGATGATTATACTTTTTTTTGTTATGCAGAGGAAGATGGATGTAAGATTGGAGTTGATATACAGCTGTGTTTACCAAAACATGTGTATTGGCTGCAAAGTGAAACTGCTTGCATAATTGATGTTCCAATTCAACCTCGTGTTTCCTGGGGCTTTACTCACTCTTTGTTATAATGCTCTTGCTGTGTTTTGCTTTCCGTCGTTTTTTCGTGTTTAGGGATGCTGGCCGTAACCCAGGTGGACCAATCATCCCCTCTCTTGGTAAAGTTATCATGCTGGCATTCGCAACCACTGTGAAGCACACGTACACAGCAACCACTGTGTATGCGCTTCACGACATGAGTCTTGCAACATGTAGAGCATAGTTGTGTGTATGAATATACAGGCAGACCTTACTCGGCGCGAACCTGTAGAACACCGATTCGTTATTGTGCTCTTTGTCCTGTTGAAAATCTTACGAAACAAAATTCAGAAATACAATTTTCTTTTTACAAAGTGCTTACTAGTGAACACGCAGTAGCGCCTGGCTGAGAAAACGTACCCGCCCCCAATGAGAGTGACGAATGCTCTCGGCCAACCAGACCCCCACACCCTGCGATTCGATTATTGATAATTATCACTGTTTGTGGTCACGATTACATTTAAACAAAAAATCGATTTGTTTAGCTACTCATGAGACGAGGAACTCACGAGACCAGGATAGAGTCTCTTCTACACCTGAAAGAAACCTCATCACATCTATTTAGACTGAGGGCATCACTAAGATCACAGAGGTCTTGCAGCTTTTCTCCTAGTGACCCAGACTGGGAGCGCAGCAGTTCCGACAGCCTCATCTCCGACCTCTGCCATATAGGAATACAGTAGAATGCACTTGTCAGGACAGTACATAATACTGATGTTATTAAGAATATATATGAAATCAAGTTTACCCTCATTATTAGAACTTATGGATACCCCAATGAAGCTCTCATATAATGCTGACACGAAAGAAATTACACTTTTGGGAATAGATCCCCATATGCACGATGGTCTAATTACCCCTTTTAGCACTGATTATATTCGCTCTCATCTTGAGCACCAAACGAGATCTCCCTTTATATGTATACTAGCGGGAAGTAACCGGCATTGCCCGGGAGAAAAAGCAGACACACACACATCGAACCACACACACAAACACATAGACTTGCACACACACATATGGACTTACACACACAGACATTCACTTTAGATACACACACATGGAGTTACACTCACAAATTGACGTACACACATACAGCGACTCACACACACACATACGTAGACTCTCACACACATTGACCTAAGCACACATATGCACTTACACACACACACATATCGACTAAGACACACACACATGGACTTACACACACACATAGAGCCACGCACATATGGACTTACACACACATATGGACTTACACACACATATGGACTCACACACACATACACATCGACGTACACACACACATCGACGTACACACACACATCGACTGACACATAGACACACACACACACAGTGACTTACACACTTTAATGGAGCCATGCACACACATCAACTAACACACACACACACACATCAACTAACACACACACATCGACTAACACACAGCAACTGACACACACGGACTGACACGCACACTTGGACTTACACACACACATCTGGTGTCGCCCGGGCAAAAAAGACAGACACACATCGACTTACACACACACATGGACCTTAACGCACACACATGGACTCACACACACACATCGACTTACACAGCAATCCCCGATGATGCCACAGCTAGAGCTGGATAGAACTGGCCACATGGGAAATTGACCATTTGGTTGCAGACCACATAAAAAAGGGCAGGGTCTTGATGGGGGTGAGGTAGCTCAGCACTGATTAATGTGTCAATGTGACTTGCATGAATTGTTTCCCTCATCCATAGCAAAATGTGAGCATGAGGAAGACGACGTTTTTGCCACCCAATGGTTGTGCAAGTTACTGCTTGTCTATCCAAAGACGCCGCCTTCGTTGGTCGTAATAAGCATCATGAGGTCATAAACTTTGAGTTGTAAGACCCTCGCTAAGATGTCATGTCTGTCTGGTGGCTTTTGGTTTGGATAAAGGTAAACCTGGATCTCCTTTCATTTGGGATTGCAAGTGAAGGTGATGAAGAGATGGGGCATGGCATATTGGCTGATGTACGTCATGGCATCCTGAATCTTCTCATGCATGTATCTTGGTGGAGCTGTGAAGGATGAAGGCAAAACAACGAATCTGCCCACATTGTGAGCGTTTGCATCTCCTTCGGCATTGATGGCGTCCCAGAAATGAGCATACTGTTCACACACAGGCGGTTTTGATTCAGTTGAATGTAAAGAAGGCGCTCACTCTCAATGTTTACATACTCATCGACAACATACAGGTGAAAGAGGTTGGCGCACCATAATATGCGGTTTCCTCCTCTGTCCATGATCACGAAGGAATATAAGTTTTTTTAGAGGAGACAGTTTTGTGAGGATGTCTTTGTCCTGCAGCTTTGTAATTGGAAGAATGTTGACGTGGTACCCATCTTGGCCTTGTGACAGGAAAATGGGTTATTGTAGGGCATCGTATGCTCTGTTAGTGTCAGGAAATCGTGCGACGGTGTTTTCTTGGTATGGAAGAACAATGTCTCTCTCACAATGTCCCTCACCCACCATAAGAAAGCAAGGTCAACAATATTTGGGGCATTGAACCTCCCTGCGTGTTCCTCGCTTTGGTGGAAAGTAAAGGTGCGGTATGGCAACATATAAATGGGTGATGTTCCGACGAATGTAACGATAGACGAAATGCAATGGGCTGTATCGAAGAAGGTCCAACGTATTTAGCAGTATAACATATTAATCAGCATCGCAGGAAAAAGTGTGGCGTGAGCAATCGAAACAATAGAAATGCATTGAAGAAATAAGTTGAAATAAGCCTACATTAAAGAGCAGCAGTATGCACAGGTAAGTTGAGAAGCAGTCTACAGTCTAGATTATAAACTGTCAGTACGCTGACTCAATGACATGAGCATTGCTACAGTCAACATAAAAAGCTGGCAATACGGTCAGCAGCTGAAAAAGGATACAGTCAACACGAAAAGCTGGCAGTACACTGAGTGAGGTAAAGAAGCAGGCAACAGATTATAGACTGGCATACACTCATAATAGCCAAAAACAAAATTAGCAGTGTAGGTAATAGTGCCAGTGCACTGACGTTAATTAAATAAGCAAGCAGGAGGTCACAGCATAGACTGGCAGTACCCTGTCTCAGTGTCATAAAAACACAGCTAAAAAAGGAAATATTTAGCAACCTAATAATGAAAATTTAGTTTTGTGCCCCCAAACATTATTATTGTAATATCTGCCAACTTATTTGTTTCCTAATAGTAAACAATGAACCTGAGTTCTTATCTCCACACAAAGATTATTAATGTAATATTTGTCAACTTATTTGTTTCATAATAGTAACAATGGACCTGAGTTCTTAGCGAAAGATTCAATAAAATTGTACTTTACATTGCCGTGGTGAGGCCTAGTCCCATGCACAGCCAGCGGCCTCGCCTAGATTGCCCAGCCGGAGCAGGTGACACATTGCCAGGCTGGGGGTTTGGCCGCTACCCCCCACCATCCCCCAGCCCGAGCTACAATACTACTATCTAAGCATTAGAGTATTAGTATCTACCGACCCTATAGTAGTAAGTGCACACATTGGGGTGGGGGGGGGGAGAGAAGAGGACATGACACTGATGAATTTACCTCAGCGTTGCATGTATTTTTGTTCCATTTTGAACGCGAATGAGAAATCCCCCCACCCTCCAACGATAACGCACGTGCGTTGCCAGGGGTAACCCCCGTGCAGCTTGGGCGGGGAAATACATAAATAAAGAGAAATCGCACAAAAACGCTATTTTTACTACTTTACAGTTTACGGATGGGAAAACGGCATAGCGCCTGCCCACCTCTGGGCTTAGGGCGTGCTACCTGGCAAGTTTTTTTTGACAAATAACCCCACGGTTCGAGAGCCAAATCCCTCGCACGTGCGCGGACAGACGGACGGATGGACAGAATTTTTTTTACTTTTATAAGTTAGAAGATACTGTATACATATGCCCTGCTCTATACATGTGTGCCATCTTTCCGATTGGCTGAAACAAGGTCACAACTCTTTTTTCAGCCAATCACATCGCAGCGGTGCACCTCACGTTGGTAGTAGTTGTGCCAGGTAATGACAACCTAGTGGCGGCGCTAGCTCAGTGATCTGTGAGGGTCTAAATCGCACGACAGTGAGGGGAGGGGATGGGACGAGACATCGCCGAGTGATTAAAAAAAACGCGAGACAGCCATTGGAGGCAGCATCCAGAGGGCAGAGGACGAGGGGAAGACCGGGGACCAGGAGGTGGGGGAAGTTCGCCGGAAGGACCTGTGTGGAATTGCAACAGTTGTGGAATCTGGGAAAAGGAAGGAGGTGATGGCGACTGTGGTGGCATCAGGCATTGAGCATGAAGACCATTTTTACTATGGATTGAAAATTGGTGTGATTGTTAGAAGTAAGGTGCGACTTGCCTGGTCCTCTTACATGATGAAGGTCTCCTCAAGGCACAATTCTTTCTGACATGCAGAGTTAAGAGGCTCTGCCGCTGTACTAACAAGACCATGCTGCTGTGTGTGGTGTAGGCCGAAGAAATGCACCGCCTTTGGATCTCACCGGACTCCCTGGCACTGAGAGGCTTAATGAGCAGGAGAAGGAGGTATAATCGATTTGTTTTATTTTCACCCTTCACTAGCAGGACGTGTAACCACTGGTGTCTGCATGAGAATGTATCGATTGTCACTGCCACGAGTCACGTGGCAAAGTGTCCATCGAGGCCACCAGGAGCAGATCCCACAGCTGTTGCATAGCCGACAGGCAAGCAGCGGGGTCTCACTGCCTCTCATTCGTGTCTCCCCCTTGGTTTCCGACCTCTCTCCATGTCAGGGCTTTCTCGGTTGCCTGGCTCCCTGCACGCTCTGCACAAGCCCGAGCCATTGCACCCTCCTCTTCGTCCGTCTCTTTTTGCTGAATAGAACCACAGTGGAGATCTCCACAGCCTGTAAAGAACACGATCGTTCCCCCCCACACTGTGTTCCCCAGCTCACGAGTAGCAGCAGGGGCAGCAGCAGTAGCAGCAGCAGCCGAATCACCGCATACTTCCTGGCGGCGTTCCATGCATACATTCAATTATTCACCTCTTAGAGCCTGCATCTGCTCTTCCTCATCCAGTCCGCTCAGCAACTTCATTCTCACTGAGCGAATCCTCTAGCGCCACCACACTTCTCTTTCATCTCCAACCTCATGGAATTATATTAAAATAGCCTTTGTAAAGTTTAACTGGAACTGTTGCAATATAATTTGGGCTTGTGTAGCATCTGAGCATGGAACATGTGCATCATGAATGTGAAGTAAAGTGTGTTAGATGTCACTTGAGAAATAGGGACAGTCACTAAGAGATGGGGTTAATCATTTTAGAGATGGGGTTAGGCAGTTACTTGAGATATGGTATTAGCAACTTGAGAGGTAAGGTTAGTCACCTGAGTGGTGGGGATAGTCACTTGAGAGATGGGTGCAGCGGTCCTCGGCAGAGGAGGTCTTGATTCTGGAGATAAACGGGTAGGGAATCGGCAGCACGGGCTACTGGAGGAGGCAGCTCCAGTCAATGCTTAGGAGCTGGAAATATTTGTTCAAATTGAAGTGAAAACCCAAATGTAATTTGACACTGTTCTTGTGAAGTCATTGGTGTCTGGCGCTGAGACTGTCAGCTCACGACACCAGAGATTGCGACCACTTCTGAATTTCACGGTTTACATGGATTCTGCTTTACATCGTTTGTTTCTTTGCTTTTGCGTTACATTCATGTGCTCTACTGTTTTATCCTGGGTCGTAGCCAAGTTATAACATAACTCCGGACACTGCCACCCGGTAACATGGGTTTTAATTACTGATGACTGGGGGTGCTTCCACAGCGGTGTAATGGTTAGCGCACCAGACTTGCGATCCAGAGGTCACCGTTTCCATCTCCCGGCACGGCAGTTGAAACAGTGGGGCCAGGTTTCTGTAATCCTCCCCGCCTCTGTCCACCCAGCGGCATAAATGGGTACACCAGTCAAACGGCAGGTTGTGTGTGGTGGGGTGAAGTGTGGGTACCCCCACTTCTTGCAAGACATCTGGCCAGCCTTGAAAAGTAGGCCAAATACCTTAATGTAATGACCGCAGGATGGGGAATTGTCTGTGCCTCGAGAACTGTTGGTGATGTATCTAACTGTGCGTTGGTGAATTTTGTTTTGAGGGGAATTTCGGTGAGCGTCTCTAGCAGCAGCAGGACCACACGGCGGAGCCTCTTTGCCGCACGTGCGAGCGTCGCGCTCAGCTCCCGCGTTACCGTGTGCCGTGTGCATGCCCCACAGCTGTGCCAGGCTGTGCGCCTCGTCCCAGAGGCGTACTTGGAATATCGTGGAGCTCTGGCAGCCGAAAGCCGCAAGCTGGGTGGGTTGCGTCTTGCCCAAGCCCGGGCTCTCATAAAGATTGATGTCAACAAAACTCGGAAGCTGTACGACTTCCTTCTGCGAGAGGGTTACATATCCAAAGGTTAAGTAATGGTGTGCCCATCAGCCTGTTGCATGAACCATTTCTTCTGTTTACACGTCACTGATTTCTCTTTTAGAAATACAGACATGTAGGTGCTGTGAACATCCACACGCATAATCTGCACAATATGGAAGCTGAGTGGATATATGCCTTACAAGTGCTTGATGCTGAGATGTGTTTGTTTACTGAGCCCCTTGCTGCTGAGAGATGCTTCTGTTGTTGCATCTTGCTGGCAGCGCAGTAGCAGCTGCCGGGCGCTGGTGACGCACGCCTGTAATCCAATTATATGGAGGCAACGGTGGCGGCGGCGGCGAGTGAATCACACATGTTGTGAAAGTCCCTGCCCATAGGTGCCAACGTGCAATTATAAGTACAGTGGTACCTCGGTATACGTCGTTAATTCGTTCCAGAAGGTAGGACTTATACCGAAAATTTCGTATACCAAACGAATTTTTCCAATAAGAAATAAAGGGAAAGGAAATAATCCGTTCCAGAGTATAAGAAATTATATTTTATATGGCATATACATTAATGGGGTTGTATGAAATAATTTAGACACTACTTATTACTAAAATGCATACATGAATTAAAATAAATGCATAAATAAATTAAAATAAAATGTAACATCACTTTACCTTGCTAAGAGGAGTTGATAGCCTACGAGGATGGTGGTGAGGAAGGGGGGGAGGAGGAGATGTTTAATGGAAGGAGAGGGTCCCCTTCCATTAAAACTTCAGGAAGCTGAAATTCTGGGGTTTTTTCTCTTTCTTTTTTCTGTCTTTTTTCTTGACTTGGACCTGTATTCTTGGTTCTTTCGGTAAAGTCACGTAGAAGGGAAATAATCAAAATAAAACAATGAAATAGAATTTTCATGACGTTTCGGCCACAATGCAAGCAGCCATCCTCAGGTGAAGAAACAGCTGTCGGAAAGACAGCGTCCTAATGAACACTGCTAAGCTTGGCAGCGTATTTTAAGCTGGGTGGGAGGAGGAGAGCGCCTTTACAAAGGAGTTTACATATCAACAGAGGAATTTAGAATATTGATGACAAATGTAGATATGGGGTTAGTTACTTCTTGTGGAATGTGTAGATCGGTGGGGGGGTCTCAAAGTCATATGCTAGTGTATTATGGAGAATTAGCAGTAATAAAGGAAGGGAAATTTTTAATAATAAAGAACTGCAACAGCCCAAACCACCGCGTATCAAGCTAGTGCATTATGTGGAAAACAAAAAAGGAGCTTCTAAAGAACTACAAATACCCTACTACCATACAATAAACCGATGTGGAAAAACTAAATATAAACTACATCAATATAATCAATATACCCAATATACTCTCCAATAAGCCGAGCTATTAACATTAAGTAACTGGGTATACACTACACTAGTAGTTCTTTAGAAACTCCATTTTTGTTTTCCACAATGCACTAGCTTGATACGCGGTGGTTTGGGCTGTTTGCGTTGTGGCCGAAACGTCGTGAGAATTTTATTTTATTATGTTTTATTATTTTATTATTTCCCTTCTACGTGACTTAACCGAAAGAACCGAGAATATGAATCCCTGCAGTCACGAAAGCTTTAAATCGAGACTTGGACCTGGTTGAGGCTCACCAGGTTTGAGTTTTACTAAAAACCTGTCCATTCAAGTTTGTTTTTGCCTTCTAAGAATGTTCCTGAAGTGTGACAATGTCTGGTCATGCCACCACAATATTGTTACGGCTTGTTAGACCCATAACAGTATTGTGTATGTGGGTACTGTACACGGTGACTCATCCCGACCCATACAAGTTCTAGCAAGCGCGTCGTATCCCAAGCAAGACGTCGTATCCCAATACATTTTTTTATCGTCAAAACACGACGTATACCAAATTTTACGTATTCCAAAGCGGTCGTATACCGAGGTATGACTGTTGAACTTCTTTTGCACTGTACGAAGCCAACCGTGCTAATTGGAGGTGCGGCTGAAGGACAAGAAACTAAACACAAAGCAGTTTTAAAGAAATTAGTTTTCAATCTAGAATTTAAAGTGCATAGCTCCAGTGGCTTCCTAATAAACTGGCTTGCCAGGAGAATGCAGTAAAAATGTGGACTTCACCTGTTCTGTCTTTTCGGGATTGAGTGTTTCCCCCTTGCATAGGTGTTTTTTTCCGAGTGCTCTGGTTTCCTCCCACATATAACCACTAATTAATTGGCCGATGCCTTAATATATAGTGGTCCGCAGAGCTTGGGGAATTGTGGCTGTTTTCCCACTTGTCTCGGTGGTTCCTCTAACCTTTAAGTTATTCTGAGTGATCGGATATTGTGCGGCCTGTTCGTAGTTCGAATTATTACTTGGGCATGGCCTAAATGGTAAAATAACACACAGCGTTTACAGAAAGCAAACGCACACTGATGCCTATCTGAATGCAGATTCGCATCATCACCCAGCTCAGAAATCCTCTCTTATCAAGACGCTCATACATCGGGCTAAAACAGTGTCAGATGGTGAAAGTCTAGTGAGAGAGATTAAACATGTTAAAGAAGCACTAAGACAGAATGGCTACAATAATGCTCAAATTAACAGAGCACTAAAAGCCAAATCACGATCGCAAAGCAACACTGCTGAAAGCGATCAGATTATTAAAACAATAAAAATACCATTTATCTCAGGAGTAACTGATAAATTAGCCCGTGTTTTGCAAAAGCAAAACATTACAGTAAGATTTGGTACAGTACACAAAATTCTACAACTAGTAACGTGCACTAAAGACGAATTACCTAAATTATCAACAGAAGGTGTATATCGGATTAATTGTGTATGTGGCAGATGCTATATTGGACATACAGGGCGTAACGTTAGTGTAAGACTAAAAGAACACCAGAGAAATATTAAACTATCACAAACACAACTGTCGGCAGTAGCAGAACATGCATGCCAACAGGGACACTCAATTGATTTTGACAACGTGGAAGTGTTGTGTAAAACTAGTTACTACTGGCAAAGACTAATTAGAGAATCGATTGAAATTGAGAGAAACAGAAATAACTTTAATCGCTCAGACAGCTACAGGCTTAGTGCGGCCTGGAAGCGTATTATTAAATAAGATACATTACAATTCCTTATAAGGGAAACAACCACTAACTGATTACTAATGTAGCATAATCACAATAAAACACATTCCAAATGATTACTAATCTACAACTCGCATCGTAACAATAGCCTGATTACTAATCTAGTATATAATTACAATCACTCCCCCCTTGAATCTTTGCACCTGATGAGTTAATAAGTTAATGATGACGTCACCCTGCTGCTGCTCTATATAAGAACGGGAGACACAGCAGAGCCCCTCACCATTCTGGCGAATTGCCCGATGATGCTGGATGCAATTACCAGCGACACGTCGTACTCAAATTGTAAATGTTGTGGCTTCAACACACCGGTGGGCTGAAGCAGTGAACTATTTGTCTTTGTCAACGTGACACATTTTTTACTGATTGGCCGTGTCGGGTGGTGGAGGGTTACGACACATTTATAAATAACGCGATCTAAACCCAAAAACGTTGATTATGAATTCGAATTATTAAGCGCCTCGAAAATACATGTTTCTCGGTTTCAATGTAAAATGGGCGAAATCAAATTCAAGAATGCTCCCAAAACTAAGATGAGTGTGAGCTCCTGTTGTCGTTTAGGTGCTTGGGAAGAATAGAATCCGATAGGTTTTCGGTTCTCACCACTTCACCTTCGGTGGCCACGCGGGTGGATGATGATCCCGATGAGTAAGCAGTCTTTTTTTGTTGCTGGTGTCGGTCTTGTCTTGCACCCTTTGAGTTGGCCTCATTTGCGCAATGCTGCATGCATTTCCTTGTGTAATTTCACATTCTGCTCACTTTCTCAAGGTTGGCACGGCTCCCATTCAGTGATGGTCCAAAAGAATGGGGCTCTTCGTATTAGTGCGGCAGTAGCTGTTTAATGTTCGAGGTGGTGAGCTGAGATGTTGTTTTAGGTGAAGTAGTCTCTCCTAAGTGTAACACGAATAGGGCTGAGTAAAGTGATGAGGCGGGGGGATTAACAGTGCCATGTGTTCACAGACTGGTTGAATCAGTTGTAGGCTTTCGCGACCAATATCATCCATAAGAGGTTTTTTGGGTTATATCGTGTAAATTTACGTGATCTAACCCCAAAAACCTCTTATGGTTGAATCAGCTTGGATATGGCTACATGCTGGTACACCACCTGGGCAGGGAGTGTTTTGTCTGAAGGCGTGGGCGGGACGGGTTGTCTATTGTGAGGACATATGCAGTGGCCCGACGAGGCAGCTTTGACATTACTACAAAATTATTAAACTTTTTATTTTACCAGGTAAGGCCCACTTAGCTATACAGCTCTTTTTCAGAAGTGACCTGGCCACAAATGGTAGCTCAACTAAGTGGCTTATCATGTGGAAATTTCTAGCAGCCAAATACTCCAAACGCATGTTTCTAAATGTGGAGGGGAAAACCGGAGGACCCAGAAAAAAATCCACACCACCATGGGGATAACATGCAAACTCCAAATATACAGGTGTCGGGGTCGAGATCAAACCCATCACCTGTATACCTGTCGCGGTAGTTAGCATCTCACCACTGTGCTGCCCAACCTGGACCTTGAGTGCATGCATCAGTCTCATCAGTAAAGAGCCACCTATCTCTCGCAGGTGTCAGTGGTACAGCTCTCACTGGGAACAGCATGGCCTGCATGGAATGTGACCATCACATCCCACAAGCTTATTAAAGACAAGATTGGTCTTCCTCGGAAATATTACTGTTATCTGTAAATGTCTCAACAGGCCAGAACAAAATGTAAAAAAAAGCCCAGTCTAACAATTTAATGGACTTCGAAATAAAACGTTGTGGAAATGTTGACACCCCCATCATCTCCCCGTACCGAATTGTGCGTATGCAGTCGTGTGACCCTGCAGGGCCAATCACGCGAGCTGTCCCTGCGCATTTTGTTTTGGCTCCGTGTGGGCATCGTGGAGGACGCGAGACACGGGAGGACGCGAGAAAGACACCAAGGATGTGAGGGAGACTCCAAGGACGAGAGACACACACCGATGATGTGAGGAAGACACCAAGGATGTCAGCCTATTGCTGTGGTTTGTTTATATTCACGTGGATAAATTGTGGAGACGTGTTGCTTTCTCCAGGATATTCCTGGTATTGATTTAGACCTGTTCAGCATTGTCAGTAGCTTAAGCTTTCCACCCTTTCATTTAGTAAATTACAAAACTGGTACAGATGTGAACTCAACCTCATGTGCAGCTCGAGCGAAAGTCATTCGTATTAGTCTCCATGAACATGCATTGGGCCTCTCGGTTCGCCTGGCTGCAGCAAGTCCAGGCTATTTTTTATTTTATCAGCTTTGGCTCAACTAAGCTATATAGCTCTTTTTCAGAAGCGATCTGGGTACAAATTATAGCTGAACGAAGTGGCTTGTGGAAATTTATAGCAGCCAAATACTCTAAATGCATGTTTCTAAATGTGGAGGGAAAACTCGTAGAATCTGGAGAAAAATTCACGCAGCCACGGGGAAAACATGCAAACTCCAAATATACAGGTGTTGGGGTGTAAGGATCTTTCCCACAACCTCCTGTATAACAGGTGAGGTAGTTAACATTTCACCATATATACCTGCGTTTGGATTGAACACACCTAGGACGTATGCTCTGCTTGCGCATTTATACACAAAACTATCAAACCCGTCTCTTCAATGTTGATGGAAAGTGGGGCAACTAAATTTGAGAATGTAATCTTACATCTGCATCCATGCCGAGTCATGGGCAAGAGACATAGCACTTGTGGTCCTGTTACTGTAAATTACTGTGATGCGAAAAGATCATTGGAACCCCGATGAAGGGAATGCCTCTTCAAATGTGCAGTTTATTGTGATGAGTAAAAGCGTAATGTGCCACCTGTAAAGTGTGAACTTTATACATGCACATTCACTGGAGGACTCGTTTTACAAGTAAAACAGAAATGACTTCACCATTAGCATTTATCTTGCACTTTATTCAAAGGCGTACATATCTTTCAATGCACATGTTTATAAGGTGATCCGTATTTCCTTTCACCTTAGAAACATTTGCCCACTTGCATCGCATTGGCACTTACCAATCTGGAACTACTATTGCAATGCTCTGTTACTTGAGGTTCTGGTCTTGGGACTATAGCTGGTCCAGAACACGGCCTCCAGGATGCTCATGCGGGCCTTATCCCTTGAACATTCCTCCTATAAACAAAAGCTATTCAAATTACATTTTAGGTCCAATTTAAAGTATTGCTGCTAACATACAAGGCTTTAAAGTGCCTCGCAGCACTCTATATTCAACAGCTGATACACCCCTACACACGATCATGATTTCTTGGATACGCCAATTTACATGTGCTCCATGTGCCAAGAACTGGACTGCACCTGGAGTGACTGAACCTTTGCATGTGCTACGCCAAGACTCTGGACCGCCCTGTTACTCATGGTTAGACATGAGCTCACTCGCACTGTTGAGGTCTTCTCTAAAGACTTGACCTGTTTCACCTGGCCTACACTTCCCATGTATGACCAGTAGACTCTGGATCTTGTATTTATATTTCTTAACTTCTTGGATCAATTGTGCCTAATAAATGTGTAGTGACATCAGGGATGTCACTGTATGATGCCGGCCCGAGAGGGCCGTGGCGTGCGTTGCACGGTCATCGCATACACCCCGTAGGTGGGTGTAGTACCAGCCCTAGCGGGGCTTGGGGAGCGTTGGGTGGAGTGTGGGCTCCCACAAGGGGGAGTGGGAGTGTCAGCCCAGGGGCAAGGTTGCCCCAGGCCATGGCTCTCTGGTTGACCCTGTAGACACGTGATCTGGAGTGTCCACAGAGAGGGCCCCAGGTGGGGGGGTTAGGGGGTGATCACGTCTCCGGGGAGAGCTCTCGAGAGGGAGCTAGAACACTCGAAGGTGGGCGGGGCCAAGGGCGGAGCGGCCCCGACCCAGAGGGTTATAAGGTGGGTCCCTAGGAGGGACTGGGGTTCTTCATTCTACAAGCTGGAAGCTCTACGAGGCATCAACACGTGGTCGCAGACCCAAGTGAGGGCTGCCCTTCGGTAGCTGTAACTCCTACGTATAGAGTAGTTAGCTGGGTGGTCCACCACCCGAGGCTGTATCTACCCTTTTGTGTTAACGGGTTGATGTTACAATAAAAGTGTTGCCTCTAAAGAACGTCTGGGAGTCAGTTGGACTCACTACAAATGTATAGTCCTCCACCAGTGAGCAGTTGAGATTTGAAGCACAGGTAATTATTAACTGTTGAACACCAATAATGCCACATGTGCAGTGACATGGAATGGGTCACTATGGAGCATAGCGCTGGTTGCTGGCAGAGAAGGAGTTCTGCGGTTGCAGCAGCCCTGTCAGCAGGTCACGTGATAAGCAGAGGGATGTAGGGCAAAGGTGATAGAGGGGGCACGTGAGGTAAGCCCGGGAACACACTCGTAGGTTCTAGAAGGGGGGTGTGGCCTGGGGCGGAGCGAGGCCACGCGAAGAGGATAAAAGGCGACCCCGAGCAAAGGCTGTTGGTTGGAGTGGAATCCCGACGGGCTGCTGGAGTCTTCATCACCGTCTTCACCTTCTTGGCGTCAGTCTTGACAGTCTGATAGCTCTCCTGACTGAAAGTGTAGCTACCCTTTGTATCCTGTGAAGGATGTAATAAATAGCGCCTCCTACTCAGAGTGTCTCCATGTACAAAAGCAGCAGTACTTGGGAGACAATGTCAGGCAAGATGCCAAAATGAATGTGCGAACAAAAGTAACATCTGACTAAAATGAGGGATCTTTCATTTTAAGTATCAAGACTTTTTTTTATATGTGGGGACCGGTGGTGCAGTGATTGGTGCATTGAGCTATGAACCCATGACCAACATCGGTGATGAATATCTTAACCGGTTCTGGTTTTCCCCGAGGAGGTTAAGCTTTAAACGAGTGGGTAACCATCAGCACTGGGAAGACCAAGGTGACCAGGCAATGTTTTGGGGCCACTACCCCTCTGGAGTATCATGCCTGTCTTCATTGGTGCTTCCTGACAGCACTTGCCAACAGTGAATGCTATTCAGGGATATTTGTCTTTTTGTGAAAGTGCGCATGTCTATGTACTTTACATATACTTGTGCCACTGTTCGTGTCTCGTTTGCTCAGCTTGCACCATCCTCTGCAATAGTGTACGTAATAGCATTGCGCCCAGTTGCACAGCGCTTCATTTTGGCCAATTGCTTTTGATCAGTAGGGAGCCACTGTTGCAATCCAGTCACTACCCTATTGATTGTGCTGAAATTGCATTGTGTGTAGAACCATTTTATTTCCAAAAAATGGACAACTTGTGAATTTAAAAGACACCCCATCCCATTACATGAAACAGAAATCCGAAGTTCACATGCGAAGAGAGCGTGGGGGACACCCAAAGCTGTTATCAGGGGCACTTGATGCATGTGTGGTTGGCAACACTGGCATTGGGTAAGATACAAAAACAAGAGTTTAACACAACCGTGCCAATATAAATCTAACCTGGGCAAGCAAAGAAGCAGAGGGGGCTTAGATAAAGACATCCACATAGGAGAGGGCTTGGTGGCTACTGTTGCATGCTGAAACTACTACGCCGCCACCACCCTACAGCGTGGGACACTAGGGCACGGCTCAGTTCTGCCCGACGATCGCCTGCAGCATGCGTTTGTAGTCTCCGCTGGTGTCACCCTCCATCATCTTGTACAGGGTCTTGTTGTACTTCTCCAGGAAGGCATGCTTCACGTTCACCAGGTCGATCTGAAACGGCAGTGAATGAGCAACGTGATGCGGCGAGGATCGCTCGATGCCCAGACTAAATTGCGTTGATAAAGATATCGCGAAATGCATGCAGCCACTGCAGTGAGACACACGATTCCCTCGTGTCAGACGACACCACGCGTGCGTTCGTGCGTCTGCACCTCGCTGCGTGATGTCACGATGCGGATGAGCGTCGAGTCGTCGGTCCCCGCGCCCTTCATGGCCTCGAACAACCTCTCAGCAAAGAACACGGGGCGGTTCTTGGCGCATTGCACTGCAGCACAAACCGCACGACGCTCGTCAGCATCACCACGTACAGCAAAGGCGTTAAACCCTCCTCCCTCGCTGCTTTATCACGGACAGCAGCAGTACTACATTAATACGGTTTATATTAAGGTCTCAAACTCTGTCAAAATGTGCCGAGGTAAATCTGCAAAGGGTATCAGTTAGTTGGGAGGATGAAGGGTGGAAGGCTATAAAGCAGAGGGGACAGGTCGCGTGTGTGGAGAAGGTACGAAGTGATATTTGTAGTGAGACGCAGTAACCAGTTGGAGGGGAACACAATATTGATCGGGGTTTGGTAGAAGCACCGATATCTTCAAGCTCAGGCAGAGCTGTCGTTGCTCGGGTACATGTTGTGAATGGATCCGTGCACAAGAAAGCCTGCTGCTGGGTGCTACTAACCAATTGCCTTAAGTCCGTCCTTCACGTTCCCAGAGAACTCTCTGTCAATTGTGTTGATGATGTCTCGTTGAGAAAGCTGTAAAGAAAGGAACACCCCACCCATTACACGTGCAGCTTAACATCACAGCCTGAAAACAGTGTCACAAATGAATTTCCCCACAGAGTACTCCCTTAGCCGCCAGGCTCAACACATCCCCTGACATTCACGGCAGAGTGCATTTCAGTTCACGCACAACCACACGTCACAATTATGTCAAGATGCTATAGCTGGTGATCACTTCCATTGCACAGTGTATTGCTATTCAGTCTATGCTGATCGATTAGGTCACTAATCGCAGCAACCCTGGTAGCAAATCAACTCATAAGTACGTTTTATACGACCGAGGTTTGTGTTTTTAGCCACTAGTTTAACCCTTTGCAAACCACAACCTGACATTGCCAATTTAGCTGCTGGTCGCACATGGAGGCTGTGGGGAACAGAAGTCGATCACGTAGAACACAAAATAATCCTTACCGTGGGGAGAATACAACATGAAAAAGTAGCAAACAGATCACATATCTGTGCCTCCGTATAATATTATTAATAAAAAAATATTTTTTTACATGTGTAGTGAGTCCAACTGAGTCGCAGACGTTGTCTTGGGAGCAACACTATTCAATAATCAACATAACATAACACAAGCTACACTTGGGTGTTGAATGCTCATCTAGCCACGCTATGGCAGAACTAGACATGGTTCGCTATCCCAGCCCGGACTACACGCTAGGTCCCGGACCACGTGGCTAGAGGCTTCATCACCAACAACCCGAAGAATCCGGAGCCCCGCACGGGGCCCCGTTATATTGGCCTGGGCTGGGGCTGGCTCCGCTCCTCGAGCTCTTTCCCGAAGGCTCCCGAGAGCTCCTTTATATCACGTGACTGCCCAGCGGCACCCGTCCACCGATGGTCCCCCTCCAATATCATCCAGTCAAGTGTCGGCAGGTTAACCAGTGTATCATGCCCACACGTAACCCTGGCTGGCTGACACTTCCTCTCGCTCCCTCACCGGGAGCCCGCACCGCATACTGGACGTGGTGCCTTCATGCTGACCAGCGCTCTGTTGTATATATAGGCCTTTTTCCAAAAATGTATATTAAGAATAATTCTGCCAATATATTTTTTTTATCATAATCGCGGTGTCGCTTAGGGTACACAAAGGGGGTGATGCGAACCCCCTCCCCTCAAACGGCAGCTGCCTTTCACCAGCACACCAGGCAAGGAAGTAGCTATACAAGGTAATAAAACCCCAGGTGCAAAAAGGGGAGGGGGGGGTTGCTAATGAGATTCTGGGGAAATCTCTACCGGGCTTCAAAGGCTGCTATATACCACGTACAAGCAACGGGCGCCACAATTCTTTCCGGGCGGCGGGAACCAAACACAATATTTTTGGTTTCTTTTCAACAGTAAAAGTTCGAAGCTTGGCTATAAGAATAAGTCGACATAGATTGCACTCAGATTAAGAACCAGGCTATAATTCTAGATTTGAAGCTTTCGTGACTGCAAGTATTCATATTCTTAGGTTTTTTCGGTAAAGTCACGTAGGTAAAAAATGTAAATGAACTCGTGGACCTAAAAAAGAGAGATGATATAGTCATCCTCTCGACAGACAAGGGCAATGCTACGGTCATCATGGATAAAGATTCGTACAACAACAAAATCCTGGACCTACTTAATGATAGGAGTTACTCCAAAATTAAAAACGATCCTACTAATAGCCTAACGACAAAAAACAACAAAATCATCACGAGTTCGACTTCCCTAATCGAACCAACCAAACGTCCCTCTCTAAAACCATCGGCGGCAAGACCTCCCAGACTCTATGGTCTTCCCAAGATCCATAAAAAAGGCACCCCGCTACGACCCATCGTGTCGACGATCAACTCTCCTACGTACAAACTGGCCCGGTTTCTATCAGATACTCTGCTTCCCTTCACAGGCAAGACCTCTTCGGCAGTACTCAACTCAACCCAATTAGTCTCTATGGTCAAGGACATGGTACTCCTGATGACATCCTCGTCAGTTTTGATGTAGTATCTATGTTTACCAAAGTCCCAGTACCGGACACCCTAACAATAATTGAGGACTTGGTCCAACATGGATTGAATTCGGATGTACCTACGCTGGTTAGGCATTGCCTCACCAACACTTATTTTACCGGGAATGGCACCTTCTAAAAACATAATGAGGGTACCCCTATGGGCTCCCCCTTGTCACCAGTGATAGCCAACATGTTCATGGAAAAGTTTGAATCAGACGCCATCCAGACATCCACCCTGCGTCCTTCTCTGTGGAAGAGGTATGTGGATGACACTTTCGTCATTTGGCCACATGGCCTCCCAGCATTGAACCACTTCTTGGACCACATCAATTCCAGACACCCATCCATCAGATTCACCATGGAAGATGGTAAACTACCATTCTTAGATATTCTGTTTGAGAGGAGACCTGACGGATCCTTGGGACATTCTGTCTACAGGAAAGCCACCCACACAGATTCCTACTTGAAACCGGATTCCCACCACCACCCATCTCAAAATAATTATCTCATCAAAACGCTATACCACAGAGCTCATGGCATTTCTGACCAACACCACCTGGCCAGTGAATTAAGACATGTACATCGGGCCCTCAGGACGAACGGATACTCTGACCGCACCATCCGCCAAGCTGTTTCTCCCACCATACAGAAACAGCCACATGAAACTCCGATCAAAACTATCACGTTGCCATACATAGCAGGCGTGACCAAAAAGATCTCCAAAATTCTAAACAAACATAAGATCCAAGTCCGATTCAGTACAGTGCATAAAATCCGTGATCTGATTCCATCTGTGAAGGATGTCGTTCCTGACTTACAGTATCCTGGAGTCTACAAACTGAGTTGCAGTTGTGGTGATTGCTACATTGGAGAAACGAAACGTCATGTCTCTGATCGTGTCCGCGAGCACAAGTCAGATCTGAAACACGGCAGAATTGATTCTTTGGCCGTTGCCGGTCATTGCTACAACTCTGTGGGCTCTCATGAAATTGTCTTTTCTGAGACCAAGGTACTCTGCAAACCTCCTGGCTACCATCAAAAGTTTGTACACGAAGCCATACAAATATACAAACACAGCCATAATTTCAACCGTGATGATGGGTACAAATTGAGTAATCATTGGAAAGATGTGATTAACCATGCAAAAGAGATTTAACCACATATTTGGACCATCTTATTTGACAGACAACTATTCTTGAGTTACTGTACAGGTTACTGATAGACAATCAGTTTTGTTTTACCATATTTAGCTTCTTTTTTCACACATTGGTTTCCTGCTATAAGTTTTACCCACCAAACAACATAGCAGGAGGCTGTTTCTTCCTGAACTGCTTTTGTGCTTTTACCATCTACATGGCAGAGGCTCGGTCTCATTAGCAGCAGTTGCACTTTGAACAACTCTGGCACCCCCCCCCCCCCCTCAGGCTCAGTCCTTTGTTATGTAGACTAGCCGTAGTGTCAAGCCGCACCTTACCATAATAAAGGCTCAGTCCTTTGTTATGTAGACGAGCCGTAGTCTCAAGCCGCACCTTACCCCCCTCAACCAGTATATATATGGGGTAGTATCTCTTGGAATCTCTCATTTACTTGATACAGCTATCGTGCTGTGACGGTTCCACCTGAAGACGGAAGCTTGTGCTGCCTCCGAAACGTCGTGATTTTTATTTTATTTTTATTTTACCTTTATTCATTTTAATTTTTTACCTACGTGACTTTACCGAAAAAACCTAAGAACCAGGCTATAATCTACATTAGTGGATTATTCTCATATTATTTTAATATGAATGTTATTCACCTTATTTTTATTCTTCTTCTTCTATCTACGCGACTTTACCGAAAAAACCAAAGGAATTCTGGCAGTCACGGAAGTTTAAGTCAAAACTTAGTTATATTTTGATATCCTGAGGTTGGAGATATAACTCGAGAATAAAGCCGAAACAGGTCAATCACACGCGACCAAGATAATGTGTTTCATAGAGAGAGCCTCCCAACCGCCTTTTGTTTTCCAGAAGCACGTGGTAGCAATAAATTACATACACATAAGGAGGGCACCTCCCCTCAAGATATCAAACACCATGAAGGAATTCCAAACCACAATGGAAGTACTGTAAACAATGCTCCAAACATACCTTGAGTCACTTACAGAGTCAAAACTGCAAAAAGTGGTACGTGTCAAGTTATAAGAGGTAAAATAATATTTTTTACTTCCAACCGGTACGAGAGAACACGACTTCAAAGGCCACAGCGCCCCTCTTTGAGAGAGACAAAAATGTAACACCTCGACCATGACAGGAACAGGCCTTGATGAGAGTTAACAGATTGCTTAATAAATCAGAACATACACACATGTACACTGGACGAACAACTTCCCCCACAAGCTAAGAGAAAAATCAAAGGAATTTCAGTCCTTTGTGAGAGGGCGAGCCGAGGGGAGAGAATTTCAGATATAAGCAGACATGACACACTATTTGGTGCTGCGAGCGGCAGGCTCCGGGAATCTGCCCCCGTGACAGGCACATCGGTAGGGAGCTGCATCGGCAGAAGCCACGGGTCTACAAAGTCAACGAAAACGGCGTCCTGCGAGCGGCAGGCACCGGGAACCTGCCCCCGTGACATGCACATTGACAGGGAGCTGCATCAGCAGAAGCCACGAGTCTATGAAGTCAACGCAAAGAGTTGAGTTTTGCTGCGGCAAGCTCCGGGGGTGAGCCCCGCAATCAAGAATGGCGCGGCTTGCCGAGTAGCCATGTGTCACAGAGTACGAGTTCAGCGCTGACAGACGAAGTATCGCTAAAAAGTCTTATTCTACATTGAGTGCCAGCTCCCACCCAGCAGCGGCACGATTAAGGAGAGAGTGAGAGAGAAAGAGTGACGAGTAACGACAAGCAATCAACCTGGAGAAAGGGCGAAAAGCGCTAAGCATCGACCAAGCGAGCATCCAGAGGACCAGCAGCAGCGGACGAGCTGCGACGCATCGTGCATCGCCAGAGAGCACGCGGCAGGAGAGAGCGCGCAACCAGCGCCACCGAGCAAAGGTGTCTGCCACCAGTGAACGAGCTGTGAGTGCATCATGCATCACCAGAGAGCACAAGCAGGAGAGAGCGTGCAACTAGCACCAATGGGCGGGGGTGTCAGCGGCCAGCGGACGAGCTGCGAGCGCGATCGAGCACCTTCAAAGACAAGCGTCGTGCCGATTCAGCTCATCCAGCAGTGAAAGGAGCCTGCAGCTGCCGCCGAGCAAGAGGGAGAGCCGTGTGTATGACACGCTAACACACACACACAACTCATCGCTCAGCAGGGAACAAACACATTTTTGGTAAAAGAAACGCCCCACCTCGGCGTCTGCTTAACGCAAAGAGCTGAGCAAGGAGAAAATACACCAACACACATATAATGCACATACTCTCAAAGTTATCCTTGTGTTTCGCCCATTGAGTTACGTGGATATGGTCGTTAGAAGTATTTTAGTCATTCTTTTTGTTAATTGCCTAACTGTACCAATTAATTCATTGATGAAACTAAAACATTTATAAACATCTACATTACCAATCTACACACTCACAGGGAGACTTGTGTTGAAATCTTTCTTTTGATCACAGAATCTTGCCCGCGAATTTACTGAAGCCTTAGCCAATTTTTCGATTTAAAGCTTTCGTGACTGCAGGGATTCATCTTCTTGGTTCTTTCGGTAAAGTCACGTAGAAGGGAAGTAATACAATAATAAAAAAATAAAAATAAAACATAATAAAATAATTCTCACGACGTTTCGGCCACAACGCAAGCAGCCGTCCTCAGGTGAAACCAGGTCTGTCGAGGCGACAGCGTCTGAATGAAACGGCACACGTGCTTGGAGCATATATATAAGCTGGGTTGGAAGGGGGGGGGGAAGGGCGCCTTGACAAAATAATTTGCATATCAAGAGGAATTTAGCATATTTATGGGAAATGCAGGTATGTGATTAGATGGAAGCATATTATATTTTTTACGACATAGAATTGTAATGTATTACTTACTGTTAGTAACTCAGCTTATTGTAGAGTATATTTAGTATAATGATGATACTATGTAGTTTATACTTTAGTTGTTTACGTGGAATGCGAGTAGTCATCCACCGTGTTGGGTGCCAGAGATGGCCATGACTCCTAGCAGCGTGGTACGACGCGTATAACAACAAGCGACTGAATGAGCAAGAGAAACGTGCGCAGTCTCTGACCTTGATGTACTCCTGGAATGTGGCCTGCAGCTGCGGGAAGCTGCGCACCGCCAGGATCATGTTGAACGCCGACTCGTCGGTGCCGAGCTTCCCCTCACCGGCGCTCTGAAGCTTCTGCGCATCAGAGAGCGCTAGTGCCAGGTCCACCGAAGGGCTCTCATCACGATTGCCCTGGGCACATACACAGCAAACACACAGGACGCACACACGCACATGCATTTGTCAGGTTATTCCAAAACACATTCCAAAACACATGATCAGGAAATACCACTTAAAGAACACCCAGAATGGGTGTGTGATATTTAGTAGAGCAGAAGGCTCCTATTCCACATTACACTTCAGTGGGAACAACTCTTTAACTTATGCATGTTAGCCACGATTATTGCATTGAGCGCTTGGCCACAGTTACCCAAGCGATATAAGTGCTGAGTTGTTGCCAGTCACTTATTATCGTAGAAGCGTTCTGCTAAAATGCAGAGTTCAATCCCAGTTACATGTTTTAATAACCATCTCGACTACAGTGGTGTGTGTAACCTCTCTCGACCCAGGGAAATGGTCAACCCCGCCAACACCACGAATAAACATAGTTTCTCTGAAGGAAAATAACCCACGTTACCAATACGTCCAATGCTGCAGTAAAACCATTATGATGTGTGAATGAAATGAAATCTGCTAGTTACAGACTCCACCCCCCCGAGAAGGAAATGTAAGTCCTCGTCACTCCCACACCTGACACATGGAGATAAGCAGCCGTTTGAAGTGTCCGCTCGTGTCCGATTTGATGTCCTTCTCCAAGTCACGGCCAAACTCGTCCTTGTAGCACGAAACAATCTCCCGGATCTCCTGATTGGTGCGCGAGCACAGGATCTCCACCAGAACCTTCTCATTGGTCCCAGCACCCTGCACAGCACCACAGGACACACGCATCACTCACCATGCCAAAATCACAAGGAGTGCACACAGCCATCTGTGTGCATTCCAGGTCTCTCACTGTGAGGGTTACACAAAGTCATTTGTGCGTGTTCCATGTCTTGCATTTATTTTGTATGGCTTAATAGCATATTAAATGTAATTTTAGATTTGTTAGCCACTCAATTGTCTGTTCAAATGCAGAGTTGATCTCGTCCATTCATCCTTTAAAAGGAGTGAAGACAGCAGGTGATTACAATGTCTTCAATGGTTAGGGATTTGTCGCCGCTGTCACAGGCTGCCAAATCTTTGATGTGTCATTTGTAGATCAGGTGGCCGCATAGGCCATGCCCGGTCGTGATTCGGTTGATGGTCGACCATTGGCAGCGTGGAAGGTTGAAACCAGGAAGTTTGATGGTAGGGTCTTGTATGACATGTTTATTTTTGACATCGGCCACAGTCCAGGCTTACTTCCAACTCCCGCCTTCATTTGTATGTGACGTGGAGTGAGGCTCCTGTGATCCAGAAGGGGTGGCGTGATTTTAGGCGAACAGGCGGCACTGGGTTTGTGTTCCAATGTATCGGAAGGTGCGGGTTGAGGAGATATTTTTGGTACTCCCGACGGCCAGTTTCACAACGAATTTATGGCGGAGCGATGTGGGTGAGCACTAGGAGCCACTGGGTCGACGTCAACTTCAGCGTACCTGAGATGGCACGTATTGTGATGTTCAGTTGCCTGTTGATAACTCGAGTGCGAGCGCTGCGTCCACACACAGGTGAGCAATACTCTCTTGTGGAAAACACAAGGGCAATCATGACAGTCCGTAGTGTTCGCGCATCACAGCCCCAACTCGTTCCCACCAGTTTATGGATAATGTTCGTGTGGGTTTTTATCTTGTTACTCAACTGCTTCATGCGTTTCCTAAAATTGAGACTTCGATCGAGCAGCACTCCATGGTGTTTTAGGAGTGGGTCGTGGGTGATGGTTTTACCACAAAACTCGATCTTCAGAGTACATTTTGCCTCCGCATTTTTGAGATGCAACGCCAAGGGCACCGTCTTGGTTGGATTTGGCTTAAGTCACCAGAAGTAGAAATAATCTCCCAATTTCTTTAGGTCGGTGTTCAAGGTGTCTTTAGCTGCGCCGAGTGTCGTCGCTTGCCTGGCCAGTGCTAGATTATCTGCGTAAATGAACTTGCTGCTTAATGTGGCCGGCATGTCACTGGTGTAAAGATTAAATAGGGCTAGTGCTAATACCGACCCTATGGTAGGCCAATTTGTAGAGTTCGTGGGCGGCTGACCTGGTTTTCGAGATGGACGCGAAATTGTTGGTCGCTGAGCATACTGGCAATGAGGCAAACCGTTATTTTACACTTGATGGTGTTGGCGAGTTTAAAAGGGGAGGAGTCCTTGGCGCCAGACCGTAAGCTATGCAGAGTACAAGTCTATGAAAGCAGCCTCTGTTTTCTGTTTATGCTGAAAGACAGCTTCAATGTGTGATGTTAAGGCGAGAATCTGGTCACAACAGCTTTGCACTTGGGACGCTGCTGTCTTCAAGGGGGGACTACATCCCGGCGCTGCAACAGCGCTTGCCTTCGCTGCAGGTTTTTGCGGCAAAGGGGGGGGACTGGGCTGCTTTTTCACGCCGTTTCGTGGCAAATGCCGAGACGGCTGGGTGGTCTGCTGACATCGCTCTCCGAGCCCTGCCTTCCACCTTGGACGACGTGGCCTTGGCCACGTTCCTCCTTATTCCACGGAGGGAGCGCTCCACTTTGCAGGAGGCCCTCGATCGGATGGCCTTAGTGTATGGACCTCCATCCGAAACAAGACATCGTTTCGCCAGTCGGAGGAGGGAGGCGGACGAGACACCCCTTGCCTATCAGAGTGCCAATACCCAGATTCGACATAATAATTAAATTTTGATTTAAAGCTTTCGTGACTGCAGGGATTCATCTTCTTGGTTATTTCGGTAAAGTCACGTAGAAGGGAAGTAATAAAATAATAATAAAACATAATAAAATTATTCTCACGACGTTTTGGCCACAATGCAAGCAGCCGTCCTCAGGTGAAAACCAGGTCCGTCGAGGCGACAGAGTCTGAATGAAACAGCACACGAGCTTGTAGCATATATATAAGCTGGGTGCCTTGACAAAGGAATTTGCATATCAAGAGGAATTTAGCATATTTATGGGAAATGCAGGAATGTGATTAGTACTACATATGCATGTGCATTATGCAGGATTAACAGCATCTGGCTATCATGAGCCATCTGGCTATCATGAGAGATTCGTTCATGAGGCGATCCACATATACAAACACAGAGACAATTTCAACCGAGAAGATGGATTCTGGCTTAGCAATCATTGGAAGGACGTAATAAACCATTTCGGATCTTAACTGATTGTGTTCACGTTTTACGGTGATTTTCAGACCACGTTCCACTCACTGGCATGGTGCAGTGTGCAGAGTAATGTATGGTGTCGTAATTATATAGTAAATATATAGCAGTGTGATACACATTAGGGTGGGTAGAATAATACATAGTGTTATATTAAAATGGATAAGGCAGCAACTGCAGCAGCAGCAACTGCAGCAGCAGCAACTGCATCAGCAGCAGCAACTGCATCAGCAGCAGCAACTGCAACTGCAGCAGCAACTGCAGCAGCAGCAAAAACTGCAGTAGCAGCAGAAACTGCAGCAGCAGCAGTACCTGCAGCTCCCTTTGATGCTGTTAATCCTGCATAATGCACATGCATATGTAGTACTAATCACATTCCTGCATTTCCCATAAATATGCTAAATTCCTCTTGATATGCAAATTCCTTTGTCAAGGCGCCCAGCTTATATATATGCTCCAAGCTCGTGTGCTGTTTCATTCAGACTCTGTCGCCTCGACAGACCTGGTTTTCACCTGAGGACGGCTACTTGCGTTGTGGCCGAAACGTCGTGAGAATAATTTTATTATGTTTTATTTTTATTATTTTATTACTTCCCTTCTACGTGACTTTACCAAAATAACCAAGAAGATAATAATTAAAGCCAAGTGATGGGGCACCATGTCACATGCCTTCTCCGAGTCAACAATTATTGCATTGCAAGTATAGTGCCATTATTAGGCGGTATGGTTATCACCATTGATTCTTACCTGCAGTAGCGGACATGTACCAACAGAAAGTGGTAGACATGATAGGTGGGATGAGTTGGGCCGTTGGGCCACCAGGGACCCCAGACCCTAAGAGGGGGGCTGGGGGGGATGCCGTTACATTCCAGGGCCCCCCCCTAGAGAGTTTGAGAAGGAATGTGTGGTGAGGGGCGGAGAGACTCTGGGAACGGCTATAAAAGCCGGACCTCTGAACGGGTCATCATCCACCTGAAGACCTGAAGATATGGAGATCTGAAAAAACACTCTGAAAGACCTGCAGCGAAGAGCCCAAAGGGCAGAACCCAAACCCCTGGCTAGGGTCGGGTTCAGAGCTTACCAGTCTGGGGTAGAGCTATAACCAGAGTAAAGGCACATTAGTCCGGAGGGGCTACCTCTGTAGGGTATAGGGTGTAAGGGGCCATTACCCCTTTGTGTTATGTACCCTTAGTTATAATAAACGTGTTGCCTCCAGCAAGTTTCTCTCCCTACTTACCCACTACAAAAGGATTACAATTATCAATGCCATTGACACTATTTTGCATAGGACCTAAAGTGTTACTATCACAAGGAAAACCAGGCTGTAAACTGTGTTGCTTGTCAGATAATAAGTTACTGTATGATAGGTGGCATCTGACAGGCCCACACTATTTGCTCAAATAGTTTAAAACAAACGGATGTTATGCAAATGGATCTGAACCGTCACATCGTGTTTGGGTCCTTGTTTGTAAAGAGGCATAATGAACGAGTCTACCCATTAACATAACACATAATATAAATATTGGACATATGTTTGTATAATAATTTAAACTAATGTACACGTAATAAACGTTAACAGATTCCTGTAGTTTTGCTTGATAAATTAATGAATAGTAATTGACATTTGTAAGGCACATTTCATCCGTAGATACCAATGTACCACCGTGTATGGAAAGTAAGTAAACAGAACCAGGGTAAAATGGCCAGCACTCGGGGGTAAAGGCCAGTTTGAAGAGGTGAGTTTTCAAGACCGGTTTAAAAGTAGCTCTAATGACTCTGATCACCTTATTACCAAAGGAAAAGTGTTCCACAGTCTGGGAGTTGCACTGAAAAAAGCTCGATCACCTCAGGAAATGAGCCTTGACCTCGGAGTCCTTAGAAGGCGATCCGTAGGTCTCAGGGACCTCGTTGGAAAGTAAACGTGGATAAGTTCCTGTAAATATTGTGGGTCTAACTCATTGAGAACCTTGTAGGTCAGTCGCAGGATCTTATAATCCACTCGATACTTGACTGGTAGTTAATGCAAAAACAAGAGACCAGGTCTGATGTGCTCGCAAAACTAAGTTTTTCTTTATCCATACATCTGTGGTGGTCAAGGTTGACACCAAGGTTGACACAGGTCACACAGGTCACACAAGCTAGGGGAGAGGTACGTACCAGTCTGGACCGGTCCGGACCGGCAGGGACGAGAGGTGGTTGGAACCGCTCTGAGGGGAGGGGGCTGGCGAGAGCCAGGGCCCCGAGACACCCCCGCCCCTCAGAGAGAAGGGATATAAGACGGCTCCCGGAGAGCGGAGGGGGTCGATCTCACGAGAAGCTGAAGGAGGTGCGGCCGGAGATCCTGGACCCCCAAGCCTCGAGGATGCCGCCCCACTGGGACTGAGTGGGCTGAGTAGCTGTAGGCTAGGGAATGAGAGTAACAGAGTAGCTGTAGGCTAGGGAAGGAGAGTAATGAGAAAAGAGCCGGAGGCTGTACCTCCCTAGGTTGTGTGGTTGGACTGTTCCCCCAGTGAGTCCGGAGGACTAGTGTTATTGGAATAAAAGCGTGTGGCCTCTACGAAGTCTCTGTCTCATTCAAGAATACTACAACTGG